ATAAATTTATATATGATATCATCAAAGTTAGGAAAACTAATCAAATTTGGGCTAAGATATATAAAAACTATAATATATTGGTACTGGTTCCACCGCAGGAACGTCAGGGTAATTTTACAGAGCCATCCCAGTTGGTGCGTGTCTCCACTGCTGGAACCTCCCACCACAGGGCCATTTACTGGAACTTTGAGGAGGGCCAACGACCTTCTCCATGCTAGGTACTCTGTTCAGCCTGAAAAGCTCCTGGCGCTGGTTGGCTAAAGCTAGAGCAGGCTCTGACGCCAGCAGAAAGCACCAAAACAACCAGCATTTTAAAAATCCAGCAGCATTAGCCTACCCTAGCAGCATAACCCTAGCAGACACCACTGGGAACAGCAAGATGTACGGATGATGAGGTGCAGGCATTGATTCAGAGGGGGTTTGAGGCGAAATGATAAGACATATTAAGTCATATCAGGGAACTTTGGAGCACTGGGGATTCATCACTCTCCAAAACAATGCCATATAAAGTAAAAAATAAACTCAGACCACAAGAACCGGAGCAGTTCCGATCGTAAAATACATAAATGGGTTTGGCGTAATGAATTTTGCTTATGCAGCAATCAAAACTCATGATGTCATCGAGTGGTCAAGGCAAGGCAAGGCAAGTTTATTTATATAGCACAATTCATACACAAGGCAATTCAAAGTGCTGAACAAAACAAGAAAGCATTAAAATCATAAATTATCACAGAACATTAAAAAGAAAGATAAAAATATAAATCCCTCAGTTGTATGCACAGTTAAACAGAACTGTCTTTAACCTGGTTTTAAACATTGTCAGAGAGGAGGCCTGTCTCACATCTTCAGGAAGATTGTTCCAGATTTTAGCAGCATGAATCTGAAAAGCAGCCTCCCACTCTGCAGTGGAGACAATGAGGGCCGAGTGCGTGGACGGTTCCTGTAGAAGTTCCACCCCCGTCCTTTAACTAGGAACTCTTGCTGTAGAAACGCGACTTTTGTTTTGTTACTTAAAGATTGTTTTGGGCTGTTATCTTTTATTTACTCAAATAGTGAAATAACTCTGTCAGTATAAGTCCATGCTAGCTTTGTTGACTGTGGCATTTTAATATTGGTCAGGGCCCAATCCTTACCCCTAACAAAACATTTACATTTTCCTCTTATGGACATCTGCTCTGCTCACATGTTTTATTCAGCAGTTTTCTGTTTGTCGTCGCTGCTCTAAAGTTTCGTGTTGCTTTTCTTTTATGGAGTCAGTGAAACCAAATCTTCTCCTTTGCCCGGCCTGTTTGGAAACCTGCAGCTTGTCTGTGACCGCTGTAAAAAGAGAGGCTGTTACAGTGACACAATGGACCTCTGCCTCATTACGCTTCTCATAAACTCACACAGGGTTGGTGTTTATGTCTCCCGAAAACTTGAGGGAAGAAATAACCAGGAGACTTCTCAACAACTATCAATTTGTTACATGGGGGCTACGGTCTATTCTTAAACAGTCACTTGTTTAAGAGTAACATTGTGGTAGCACTGGTTTAGATTATTAAATTAAATGTATAAATGTGGTTTTCATCTGGTTGTTTTTATCATAGAGGATTTTAAACTAGTCATTAGACATTCTAAAGTAAAGGATTTCACTGTCTGTAGGACAGTTTTGTAAATAGGAGCCCAAAAGTACACCATAAAAGCCATCACCGTTTCCAAATCCCGAGCTGGACCCCTGTTGAAATCCACTTTGTCATTCTATTATTTTAGTCTATTGGCTACATTCTTGGGATCATGTTGAGCCTTAGACCAAGCCAAAGCCAAATTAAACTTTTCTTCTTTGCTATATATCTGGAATAGTCTCTCCTCTTGGCTCAAATCATTCCATTGTGAGTCTGTCTATCTAAATCATTTAAAAGTAGGCCTATATTGCAAAAATAGGTCAAATTGTCCAATCAGATTATGCAAAGTGTAAACGTGTTGTTCCTACACCTCAGCTGCAGGTCATAAAACACGTCCCTTCCTTTTCCTCTGCTCCTTTGTGTCATATTTTCTGCTGTGACAGTTTTCATTTTGGATTTGGCCACAGGAAGCACAAGTCCATCGTTACATCATGTTGTGAAGCCATTTTATACCAACTGTCAGGAGAGGAGGGCGAGTGGGTAAAGTCCTTTGATCTGGTTTTGGTCTTTAGGCCTGGTTTCGTCCCCTGATCACAATGCGTTGTGTTTACCATTTCCTTTCATATTTGGTAAACACTTTGGATTGCCTCGTATATGTATTGTGCTATACAAATAAACTGGATAAAGTCTGTCACCAATTTCATAGAAAAAATAATTTCGAGTTGGATTTTTTTTTTTTAATATATATCAAAAATATATTTACAGCCATTTATCATGTTTTAAGTGCTCCTTTAATCTCTACTGTTCTTTTGATGGAATTTCCCCACTTTGGGACAAATTAAGTTTATCTTTCTGTGTCTCTATCTAAACCAACAAAATGGTGATCTAGTCACTACTTCTAAGGAAGCATATCAAAAATGAAGGTATTAACTAATAAACTCATTACCTGAAGTGGCCTTCTGTCATCAGCCTGCTCAAGTAATTACTATATTGAATTTCAACAGTTAATTGAAGGAACAAAATATTTTCAGATTAGGATTTATAGCTAGTACATTAAATTAGTAATGACGGAGATCTTTATTGGCGGCACGGTGGCTGAGTGGATAGCACTCTCGCCTCTCAGCAAGAAGGTCCTGGGTTCAAATCCCGGTCGGACCAGGACCTTTCTGAGTGGAGTTTGCATGTTCTCCCCGTGTCTGCGTAGGTTTCCTCCGGGTACTCCGGTTTCCCCTACCACTAAAAATATGTACAATAGTTCTGGCATGTGCCTCCTGTACTGGCGACCCCGCTCCCATCTCTGTGTGGAGCGAGAGGACAAATGCCCTAAAAATAACAATTGTAAACCTCTTTGAGACTCCAATGTGCAGTGAAAAGGCGGTATATAAATAAAAGATTACTTACTTACTTATTAAATGTACCATAAAGGGACAAGAGGATGAGCAAACTCATTTTGTTTTTTGGTTGTGTCTCTGATGCAAGGGGGTGTATTAAGACTCTAATCTTGCCTTGGTATGATTCCTGCATGGTTCTATACACTCAAAAATGTTTTTCTGATATTATCCTAAATGTTCTGTTGTACTATACAATAATACTTCTGCCTGACAAAAGAAAATACTTAGTTTTTCCATTGACATAACAAGATAATGATTTGTTTTTCTTAGTCTTTTTTTTGTTTGCAGCATAAAAAATTGCGTTTTCGACTCGATTGTGTTTAATCTCTCCCCTGGTTCTGATGGTCAGGTGTTGTGGCCTGGGTTTTAGTGCTGTGTTGCTGGTTTCCTGTAGCGTCGCCCTCCCTGTGTCTGCTGCAGCCTGTTTCCTGTTGGCTCTGAGCCCAGACTCACCGGGAGGAGCAGGTCTGGACCACTGCTGCTCTCTGGACTTTGATTCAAGTTTATTGCAACATGTTTTGAGTTAACTCCGGCTGAGTGGCTATCTGGAACGTGCCATGAAAAAACAAGTGTCTAAATACCTGTGCGGCCAGATATGACAAAAAGTTGATTCTGTAGTGTTTATGGTACAAGTAGTATTTGTATTTTAATAGGTATGTCTAAGAGCCCTGTTTCCACCAGCCCTTTCCACCAGCCCTACTCAGACTTGTTTGTGTTTCCATTACGCTTTAGTATCTGGTACCGCATTCTAGCAACCTACCTGCAACAAACCAGTAAATTCCTTGGTAACTATGGCTCATGATATTTTAACTTTTGAAGTTTTTTTTTTGGTGATGGCATACCAGCCTGGCTTTAGAAATCTCATAATTGTTGACAAACAATCAAAAAGTGTTACATTTTGTTTATTACTCAATGGCAATAAATGTGAGACAATGCACAATCTGTATATCAAATTTTCTGCCAGAAAAAAAGTTATTTGCCATGCTTTTAACATGCACTGTTGTTGGCATGTCACTTACAGCATTCCTTGGAAAATTAAAACAGTTTTTTGAACATTCTACATGGATAAAGACAAGATTATTGCCAGCGAAGTTCAAGTTGAAGTTGCAACAAGTTTCTGGAGATACAAGCCCGTTCACATGTTTTTTAATTTTTTATTATCATTAATATTGTATCTATTTTGTTATGAAAAAGTAGAGGTAGGGCTTTACTCTTTGCTACAGTTTGTGTTGTAGTGGATATGCAAAGTAGTTGGATAAAGACTCCAACTGAAGGTAAAGCGTTTATCGGACATGCCTGCCTGTTTCAAGCCCTGATTCATAGAAAATTATGACACTTGAGCCGTTTATTCTGTTTTCCTAGACAAGATAATTCTCTATCAGTCAAAGTTAATGAAAGCAGAAATCCTATCAAACCACAATTTTTTTATTATGTCTCCGGGTAAGACACTTCATCCATTACCCATTAATCTGGCTGGTTACGATGGGGAGGGAACATGTCACTACAACTTTGCCAAATTAATGATTCATTTCTTTATTGTACTTTTATTGGAAATCAACAATAAAAAATGTATTGTAACAAACCTCTTTACCTATACCCAATGACTGTATTGTAAATCCATGTTTTTTATGACGCATTTTCTGCTAGATTACATAGACTGTAAAAAAAAATAGACAATGCTAACCTACTAGTAGGTACTAATAGGACTTGCTCGATGAAGCTTAACAGGGAAGTGTTCATGGATGAAGATTTGCTTCTACTCCCTTTGGCTCCTCTTGACTTAAATTGAAAAGTAAAGGCAGCTTATGTTCAAAGTGACTTGTTCCACATTCGGCACAGACTATGGGTCAGAACTTGGTCAGTCCACTCCTAATACGGTCTATGGTCACAAATAGCATTAAAAGCTAAACTACAGGTGTAGTATTACTCTTTAAAATCTAGTCGCCCATTGAACTTATCAATTCTATGAGAAATCCTCGTAATAAAAAGGTTGCTTTTTCTTTTACAGGAAACATTGCAGCAGTTGATAGTGATGCCTCTACCCAACATCCTCTCCATCGCCAAGGATCCCATATCAGGTAAACTATGTCCTTTTCCTTCATGCATTGTAGATTAATCACAATTCTGCAACCTACTCTTCAATATAAGATGCGCTTGTGCAATCAGAATTTCCAATGTCTACAAAAAAAGTGACCTGGCAAAAGCTAGATTGATGATTGTGTAGGACCCAATCACGGTAACAGATTAATATGTCGTCATCGGCTAAAACTGACTTCAGCTACGAATCCGTCCTGCTGGGTGGTCATGTGTGTTTTGTTTCAGCCCCGCGCTGCTCGCTTTCATCAAACCCGGATATCCCGCCCTAAACTTCAAGCCTGGCCCATGATTGGGTAGAACACCTAGATGTTCTACCCAAAAAGTGTAAGCTGCGGGAGCAGTACAAGATGTAGCCTTGTGTGTTTGTGAACTCACAAATACCACGAGAATTCAGCTTGCAGCCAAGTTTTTAAAAAAGTGCCTGACACAAAATAACAGTAATAGTTAAGCGGTGTGTTATGTGTTCTGAATGTCACTGACAGAAGGTGTATTATTGAGTTTCAGTTCTCGAGGCTATTTGAATGAAATGCCTGAACAAAATTATTAGGGTTGCATTACAGATCATCCGTCAGCACTGGTTTGTCATATGCCTCACAGTTCAACTGAACAAGAGGATCCACTCACGTGCTGTTTAAGCTGTTTTCAATTTGAATGAGCAAAGAGATGACGTTTAAGGACAGGGATATAACATTGTTCGTTAATTAAATTTTTTTGGTTGTTTCTTTTAAGAATAACCATAATTTGAGAAACTTTTTTGTTCAAGATCACAGCATATAGTGAGGGCATATGGTAGGCTATAGTTTCAGGTTTTGGCACTGCATCTTTATGATCCGTTTTATATAGCCAGTTGCTTTGTGATTGTGAGTGTATTTTGACAAATTGAGCTGTAAAATATATCTGTGTTTTGTCCCCCACAGCTAAAAGTATGGAGGAGCTGAAGAGGCTTTTGTTACTGATTCTTGGCTGTGCTGTTCAGGTCAGTAATACACACTTGCACATTCACATACAAGATGATTACATACTTTCATTTGCTCACTTAAGAGATATATTGCTTTTGCATTTTGAAGAATTTCTTGCAAAACATCTTTTTAAATCTTCACAAACAAAAGTACCTCCCTGTCTCCAATGCAGGAAGTAATGCAGTTTGTGTGTTGCTTTGCATGTCTGAGCAGAACGCCTGATAAGCGGCTGGGTGCCAGGCGAGACTCCAAAACATGAAAACATTATTATCACTATTGTATTCGTCAATCAAACGTACTCACTGTCATAATAGTCAGTTACTTGGACATGTCAGTTACCTGTCCATTTTCAAACCCACCATGACCACTTTACATTCGCACTGTGGCTGATTGGGTAGTATGTTCTCCCGTGTCTGTGTAGGTTTCCCCCTGGTACTTCGGTTTCCCCTTGGTACTTCGGTTTTTTCCTACCACTAAAAACATGTACATGTTCAGGGTGAATGAGTATGTGTTTGTGAGTGAGAATGTGGTACAACGGATGCAAACTACCCCATGGCTACATTCTGGAGTTATGTGTTCATTAACGTGTACTGTCCCAAACAAAATAAACAATAAATAAATATTCTATGGATCAGAAACTAAACTAAAATCTATATATAGTATTTTGTCAATTGTCCTCAAATTATTATTGGCACCTTCCCCATAGATAATATTTTTAGTAGAAATTCAGGACTCATGTAATTTGGCATATTTGTTACAGTTAAATCATGTTTGTTTATCTGCCATCCCTAAAACTATTGTATGTATAATGAATGATTGATTGAATGAATTATTTTCCCACTCATTGTCTGTGGTTGTGTGAAGCCATATATTGTCGATTTATAGGGCAAATGAGCTCTATTGAGAACTGGAGATGGAGACTTTTGATTAGGGTCAGAAAAGGAGTTTCTGTTGTCATTGCAATTTGAAAACATAAAAATAATGCCTTTAGCTCCACCACTTTAAAGACATGGATTATTTTTTTTTTTGAGTTATCATTCATAACCCACAAAACATAGATGTTTTTTCCCATTTCTCCTTTTGTCTTGGCTCCTTGTTCCCGTTCTTTGTCTGCACCTGAACTGGCTTGTCTGGTTTGGGAAGCAGGAAGGCCACACAGGAGCGATCAAAGATTAAACCACATGAAAATGATGATGACGTCAAGCAAGTTATTTTAGGATTCAAGTAAACAGTGGTCCATCAGTATTACAGCCTTTATGAAACCAGTGTTTCTCTAATCTTAAAGGCAGCATTGTAACGTGGCCATTTCAAAATGTTGTTTGTTTGATTCGCGGTGGTCTGTGGGTGCAAATTGGCGGCTATGTTTGCCAACAGAATAATACAGAAAAAAGAAGCAGTCATCAAAGCCAAACATGAAAGCAAAAATGTATTCTAGACAGTATCCAACTTACTCACACAAATTAGTAAAAGTTAAATGACTGATTTAGAAAGGACCAGGTCACAGAATAACAAGAAAAAATATATATAACAAATATGATTTTACATTTAAATGAGATTAGCAGCCGAGCTTCTGCCAGTCTGTCCCAGGTCAGTTGTGGCTACATTAGTGGCTTATTGCTGACATTTGGAGTGTATTAAAAATGGGATGTAAAATATCTCTTAAGTGTGCAGGATTTATAAAAAAGATTTAGTTTATTGCGGTTCAGTTTAAATTATAACGTTCTCATGTTACTTTCTTAAAAGTTGAATATTTACAATTTGAATAATTCAAATATCTGAAAATCTTTCCCTTAAGTATGAATTCAATGTAACGTAGTAACTTCATAAACATTTAAGTTGATTTTTCATTGAGCAATATTTTTTACTGTCTGGACATTCTTTTAAATCGACGTTCAGACCATATAAACTGTTTAAACCTATAAAGACCTTGTGGATCCATTCTTTATCAAAGTATTTTTGGATGTCATTAGGTAATAGTCTCATTTTTGCCTCATACATTAACTGTCCTGTCTGAAAATGTCTCTTTTTAGTTTTAATATTTGTATTTTAATGAGATAAATTGCTGATTCTCAGTGCTTAGAAAACAGCCTTACAACCACTATTTTTACTTTTTTTAACTATGCAAATTAGTGCACCAAAGTTTAATATTATGAAACCAGAGAAAAATAAGTCTAGTAACGGCAAGTAAACTAAGAATTATTCAACCTTACCTAATCCTGCAATTGTCTTTGAGATTTTTGTTTATTATTTGTGCTAAAAAAAACTTGCATGTTTTTAATGCACTAGACATGCACCAAACACTAAAAAATAAATAAATAAACAAATAAATAAATGAAAATAAGCAAATAAATATGTGGTCACATAAACACAGCCAAAATACGTCACTGGGATCTGTGGAGACAGCAGGTGGCAGCACTCATTATTTTCGTTTTATTTACTATTATTGTTCTGTTTTCTATTTCTTCTTCAGACATATATAATCATACATTCATACATATACACAAACACTCAAATACATTAACACCTACATTAACACCCACACTTACACATTAGCACCTACATATTTCCATGACCGTACTTGCTTGTTAATTTATTTTTATTAAGTATTTTGTTTTATTTTTGTTTTATTAAAAAATATATATATATTATTTGTGCTATTATTGAAGGACGGCACGGTGGCTGAGTGGATAGCACTCTCGCCTCTCAGCAAGAAGGTCCTGGGTTCGAATCCCGGTTGGACCAGGGCCTTTCTGAGTGGAGTTTGCATGTTCTCCCCGTGTCCGCGTAGGTTTCCTCCGGGTGCTCCGGTTTCCCCTACCACTAAAAATATGTACAATAGGTCTGGCATGTGCCTCCTGTACTGGCACCCCCACTCCCAAAAATAACAATTGTAAACCGCTTTGAGACTCCGATGTGCAGTGAAAAGGCGGTATATAAATAAAAAAAGAAAGAAAAGAAAAAAGAAGAAGATGAAGGATTAATTTAAACATAGGATTCAAATCATCTAAAAAATAGTAACATTTATAAAGCAAAATGTGACATAATCGTGTTGTTCTTGTTTTCAGTGTGAGCGGAAGGAGGAGATGATCGAAAAGATAAAACTGCTGGACATCGAGACTCAAGGGGCCATCGTGTCTCACATTCAAGAGGTCTGTAAACCGCTTTCAAATCAGAATAACTCCATTGTTTCAAGTTTTCTTTCTTTAAGTTTCTTGGGTAAAATATTATCCCTTCATCCAAACAAAGATATACACAAGCCTCATACTGAGAGCTAAATGCACCATTCACGCCTTTACTCTTTAGTCTTTATCTGTTCTAATTTTGACCATACACTGTATATAGATGGACAATGCAAAACCTCAAGCTCAATGAAGCCCAATAGGGAACTCGCTTTGGCTTCTATTTGACTTAAATTGAAAAGTAACCTCCTCCCTGCCTCTTACCGGTTGCTCTGTTATTCTGTTTTATTTTAATATATTCTTTGTAAATCCAGATATGAGCCATAAAGATTTATCCAATCAGATTCCTTAATTAGAGGTGGAAGCTTACCTTATCAACCATATTAGCCCTCTGGCGCAAAGCTTACCCTGTTGAGCCCTGCACGGGCCTATTATCTGGGCCCGAGCCCGGCCTTGGCCCGAGGGGATGGCGCCCCAGCCCGGCCCGGCCCGATATGGTTTCTGAATTTTCAGGCCCAAAACCCGCATCAAGCCCAACTTTTTTCAATTCATTTTTTACCTCCCATAACAATGTTTTAGCGTAGTATATAGTGCCGCGCACTGATATGAACACAGGCTTGGCTAGAGGGCGGAGTTATACATGGTAGTGATGTGTTGCAGTGAGTTCTGTGTGTGCGGAGTGAACGGCCGCAGCTGTATGATACACAGCTGTATGATACACAGATGCCGCAACACACTTGTAAGTAACGCTATGTGTCGTCAATGACAACACTACACAGAACAACAAACACTACAGCGTGATAGAACGCTATATTCAGTGGGCGCGTTCGTAGATATAATCTGCCGCTCTGAAAGTGCGCGAGCCCGGCCCGTGTCCGAGGTCATTATACGGTCATCGGCCCGAAGCCCGGCCCTCGGGCTGTCGGGGCCCTCGGGCCAAGGGCTCAAGTGCAGGGCTCTACCCTGTTGAAACGCATTTCTATATAACAAATTTGGCTCCTGCTAGCTTATGTTCAAATCAGCGTTTTCCTCATTCTGTAAACACTATGGTGACGTCCGTACTTTGTCAGTCCAGTTTACAGTCTATGGTTTTTACCTGAATGTGTTGGAATCTGACCTAAACTATATTGTAATACTAATAATCATTGTAGTTGGTTACTATGTTTTTACTATAGTTTACTTTTGTTTTATATATGGTGTAAATTGGTTAGTTCATTTGAAAAGGGGAACTTGCATTCCTATAGCAAATGTCATGACTTTAGAAAATCAAAGTCTGAATTTCAGACATGATTGAATTAATATTTTGAATTGTAGATTTATTACAAATAGTTCCCTCTTTGTTCGTCACATAACTGTCCCACACAGACTGAGCCCTGTTCATGTTCAATAACACTGTGCGTTTAAACCAATGGAACCAGCCAGACTTTATTTAGGTCTCTAGTCTCAATGACATTAACTAGATCCGTCTCATGATTTTACAACTATTTACATGTAACAAAGTGATTGCTGTGGCAAACTTTGTAGCAAACAATTTTGTGAATGTTTGTTTCGGTTCGTCTTATGCATTTTCCTCATTTTGACCTACTTAATCTGCCATTTGTAGTCAAAGCACTTGGGAGGAAAGTGCTATGCTTTCAACTTACTCTTTGCCAAAAATAATCTCAATATACACATTTTATTAAAATGAATTGCTTTGAGTGTCCTCAAATGTAACACTAGTGACAGTGGATTTCAAGAATAAGAAAGCGTTTTCTCATCTCAATGCTTCAAGTGTGTTATTTCCTTTCTCCTAGTTTTAGAGCTAATCTTTCAGTTGTAAAATATGCAATCTGAAACTAAAAACTCTTTGAAGGGCAGGAAATGGTTTGGTCATGGTGCAAGGGTTTCACTTCAATTCAATTTAACTTTATTACAGACTCTTGGTCCAATACAGACAGACTAGACAAAAATTAGCAAACAAACAGTTATAACTTTAAAAGACAGCCATACCGGTGTCTAAACATCTTGGACTGAAATCGAGTGCCACTGAACCTGATGTCTGTCATCACTAATATTATTTAGTTTTCTGACTTGTTTAGTCAACAGATTAAATTGTACATTAAGGTCCTCAGCACAGGCTGTAAAGTATTCTCTCGTGAGGAGACAAACATCTCAGACGCACTGGTCCATTGTGGCTTTCTCATAAGCACTCAAAGAGCGTCATTGTAGGCCACCTGCAGCTTGTGCAGACTGGCTCTTTTGTAGTGCGTCCACATGTGGGCCATGTGCAGCGGTGTACACTAAGATTTAAACAGTTGCACCTTGACATCAGTTGAACAGAAGCCAAACTTGCACATGAGAGAGTTGGCCTGTACAGACAGCATCCTGCACTGTCTGTAGATGTCCCTGTCAGTTTCACTATTGTTTCTGAATCTGGTGTGATGACATATCCAAGATGTTTTGTTTGTTGTAACATTTAACACAACGTTAGAAGCCAAAAGTCAGGAACAATCATGAGTGTGTCTTATTTCTTATAGTGTAGAGAGTTCCTGTTATTGGCATAGATCTAAAATAATTTTCAGCTATCATGATAGTAAGAGGAAGCTGGCACCTTATTTTAATGTAATGGCTTCTAACGTAAACAACTTAAACGTAATTTTAAATGAATGGTCAATCCAAACAGTCCCCGAACTCATCATAAAAAAATATCCAAAATAAAAGTAATCCTTTTGTCCAAAAACCTACATAAAGTAAAAAATATTGCCAGTTTTTGTATAGCCCTAAATTACAATAGTAGTTATCTCAGAGGTCTTTACAAAATTGTCTATTTGCCAACACAGATCAGAGAATCAAACACGCAATGATAAAAAATACATAGAGCCATTGGTCCATAAGGGCATGTCATTTATATTAGTTCAATTTGGCCCTTGACCAAAAAGGATGAAGAAAAAACAACTACAGATCTGTTTTTGATGTTGTGGTAAACCGCTCCAAAGGATTATTTATGAACATTTACCAACTCTGAACATGCACTGGTGACTGTAAGAAATACACTTATTTGTTCATAAACAGTACACAGTGTTTCTTACGAACTAAAAATAACTGCACATGTCTAGGTACAAAAATATTGTTGCATTGGTGAGGTTACTCCAGCCTCGTGCTTGTTTACTTTGGGCTATGATAATCCTACACATCAGCTGATACCAGGCAAGAAAACCATCCATTATACAGGCAATACACCACTGCTATTATTAGACTGGCCTTTTTAGCCTCAAAACTTAGACTGAGATGTTTTAGATAAAGGTGCTGCTAATGTACCATTGATACAAGAATAAAGTGAAATCTGTTGCTAAATTTACAAGACTAGCTTTTTTAAAGACACATGTTTTCCTAAATCAACTCAAACAGACCTGGAGTTGATTTTGGTCCTTCCACGCTGGAATGAGGAACTTCTGGAACAAACATGAAACCCCACACTTTCTGTCTTAAAGCTCCTGCCTCAGTCCGTTATGATGTCATTGTACCACTATGACATCATGTTCAAGCAGTTTTTCTCTTATTTTAACAAAAATATTGCCCATAAATTAGTTTTGGCAATTTCTCAGGTGAAAAGGCACCCTTTACCGTCACATGGGTTTGTAATATCAAACTTGAAAAAAATCACTATTAAATCCCAAAAGTTCACAATTGTGAATTATTTTTCACAATTGTTTCACTCTATTTTCTACTTTAGTATGTAGTAATATTTATTTTTTTGTTGTTGCAGGTGACACATAACCAGCTGAATGTGCTGGACCTGTCCTGGGTGGAGGGAGATTCGGAACTTGTTCATGAAGAACTGGAACCAGTCTCCCGCAATATGGCTGTGTCTCTACGGCAACTCATTGACCAGAGAGACAAGGCCACCGAGGTATAAAGACAAATAAAACAAATAATAGTGGTATTTTCTCATTTCTTATTTTGGGATATTGATGTTTCTTGTTTTTCCATCTCTAGCATTGGGGCTGTTCTTGATTCAATCATTCTCTCTTAAAACCTATAATGACTGGCCATTAGACTTAGACTTGGACTTAGACAGACTTTATTGATCCGCAAGGGAAATTGCGTTGTCACAGTAGCTTGCATAGTATTTCACAATTAAAAATTTAAAAAACGTTAAAGTAGCAATATAAAAATAAGAATAATAAGATAATATCTGTGAGAATAAATAATAATAAGATAATATTTGTGAGAATTATATCATCCACATTCAAAACAACCTCATATTTTGGAATTTGTCATACGTCTTTCAAACAGTGGCTTTTGTCCCCCAATTTCTCAGTGAGTTTTGTCTTGCAGGTGATAGTGGACCTGACCCAGGAGAGGGACTACCTGAGCAGCCAGCAGCCTCAGGCACACTGCAGGGACCTGGGCCTGAGCAGTCCGGAGCGAGGGGTCAACTCCAAAGATGCGGCTCTCAACAATGGGCCGTCTTCTGTGAATACAGCTGGACTCACGAAGGAGGAGAAGCACCACATCTCTGTGGAGCTGGCAGATGCCAAGTCCAAGCTAAGGAGATTCAGGCAGGAACTGTGAGTACATAGTCAAATGTACGAACTGTGCTATACAAATACTTGCCTTGCCTCGCCCTCCCAAATGTATGGGAAACTAACACCAAAAACAAGTCCAGTACACCAACTAATACAAATAGCAAAAATAACCATTTATTTTATACTTTTCATTGCAATATTGTTGTTGATATTATGATTGTATATATTTATAATACTTTTAAATTGTAATACTACTATACTTGTAATTGTAATAATAATACTGTACTTTTAAATTGTGTTGACAAAGCAGGAGCTCATTTCAACTATTATGCGTTTTGTGCCAAAATGCCTGCGCAAACAATTCTATATCCTCTTGTATAAAGAAAAGTCAAAAGTGTCCAAGCAAAGAAAGTAGCATGAAGGGCCACGTACTATGGGTTAAAATTCCAGTTTAACCAACCACCCACTTTTATGTGAAATGTGGTTTGTTGGGTGGTTGGTCATTACTAGGTTTTATTATTGAACTTTGGTGTTTTCTTTCAGTGAGGAGAAGACTGAGCAGCTGATGGACTCTAAACATGAAGTAGAGCGGCTGGATCAGGAGCTGCAGAGAATGAAAACTGAGGTCTGTATTAGGGCAAAAACTTGGATTGTTATTGGGGCAAATAAGAGATTCCTCAAACGTGTACGTTGTTACAATAAAATTAATCAGCTAACTTTCAAACTACAATAATGGGTCTGTGTAATCTAATTAAAAAAATCAAAGCTTGGGACCCTAACTTTAAGACATACTCTGATAATATTGCTCCTCTTAGAACATCCTTAATAATCATGATTACTGTGTTTCCTCCTCAGCACCAGTCTCTGTCATCTGAGGCGCGCTCGGCTCGTGTGTACCGGGACGAGGTGGACTCCATGAGGGAAAAAGCGTCTCGAGTGGACCGTCTGGAGGCGGAGCTGACGCGCTGCAAAGAGAAACTCAATGACGTACACTTCTACAAGAGTAGAGTTGAGGTACAAGCAGCGCACAAGCAGCGCACAAACATCCTGACTAGGGATGTAAATCGGTGACCTTTTAACCAGTGGTTGACCGTCACAGCGTTAACTGGTCAAAGCTAAAAAAAAGAAAAGGGGGAGGAGGAGGTCTCTTAATAACGCTATTGTAAGCCCTATTTGCACGGTGTGGCAAGCAGGTCTGTATCTAGCTGTATGCGCCAATGTATCAGTAAACTCCGGGCCGACTCTCATGCCGCACGCGCCACATGCACACGCACGCGCACACACACACACACACACACACACACACACACACTTTCCCCCCTCCATTGATACGTAACATCCACACGCATCATCTCTCCCTCTGTCCGCCAAAGTTGCACACTGGTGCGGGTTAGAACTACATTGGCGCTTACATTTACACACACATGCATGCATATACACACACACATACCGGTTTGTCGCGCTCCTCTGTGTCACGCAGCCCAAAGTATCCAAATACGCAACTTCAGTCAAACCACATGGAACTTGTTTGTGCTGATGGTCCTTGTCATTAGATCAGCTCCACACACATCACTTGTATTTAAACTTTAGTGGAGACCTGCGAGACGTGGCTCGTCACTCGCTGCTCTGACCATGTGGACGAGCCGTTGTTTGCTGCTAAAAATTGTTAACCCGCAGCAGAGAAGTATGGAAAGAGCTGCACTTATGAGAAGTACGCGGCTCGAAATGGCTGTTATTTCAAAGAACCTGGGATATTTTTAACTACTCGGTTAACCGGTTTCAACCGGTTAATGAGGCTCGGTGGTCGGTCATGAAAATTCATAGTTTTTTATATCCCTAATCCTGACAGTATCTGTAACATTGTTCTTTTCTTTTTTATCTTTTTTCCCTCTATCACCTCTGGTCATAGGCTTTGGGTAACGACCAAAAGTATGAGATTGCGTATACAAGTGGTCCACGTGATTTTTCTCCGCAGAGCGGCTAGCTGCTCGGAGTAGAGCCGCTGCTCTGCAGGAGTCAGTTGAGAAGAAATCTGTTCCGAATGCCTCTTTGAACGACTCCCCTGAGGAAGTCATCCAGGCATGTCTCATAAAGACCCAAGACCCGCAGAGATTGGAACTCCTTGCGATTCCTCCGGATGAGCTGGAGCTCTTTTTTGTGGTTAGGGAAGTCTGCGCGTTCCTGCCCCTGTGAACTGGCAATGGATAAAGAATAAAAAAAATTTTTTAAAGCTGGGGTACCTGACATTTAAATTGATCCTAAAAAGTTTCCACATGCATGTATTTTTGGCCTCAGCCCCATCTTGATTTTTCAAGATTTTTCAGCCAGACCACCCTCACTCAGTCAACTGTTTATTAGCCCAAAGCGTCAAATTGCACTACTTTCTAATAAGACAAAGACAGCCTGTGGTGGAATAATGCACTCAAAATGTAAAGCAGCTTTTGGATTCTTTGAAAAGTTTGTTTTCCCGCTTATATGCTTTAAAAGTTTCATATAATGTTATATATAAAAGCATTTTTGAAGAAATTACAAAGTAAATTTCAAACAGTTACTATGCTCACTTGTAATTCTTGTCAGCATTCATAGCTCTCTCCTTCTAACACTGTCTTTTCATTTCATTCTAGGAGCTTCGTGAAGATAACCTGACGCTGATGGAGACTAAAGTCCTGCTTGAAGAACAGCTGTCGGCCTCCAGAGGGCGCTGTGATAAATTGCACACACTGGAGAAGGACAACCTGCTACTGAGGTCCAAAATCAACGACCTGGAAATGGTAATATTTGAAAACTTCCTGATTAAAGGAGATGTGACATGATTAAAAGCTCAAAAATTGTTGCATGTTGGTAGGGCAGGACGATACTACTTAGTACTAAAACATGAAATGAGCAAAACTGAATGTATATTTCTTCTAATGCACACTGTTATTTGACATTTGCTTTGCTTCATGCCTCCATTGCCGATCTATGGGACTTTGCACAATATAACTCATTACAGCAAAGCTATACAAGAGCCACAAATTACTTGTGTTACATCTTTGCATGCTTCATATGTCGTCTATGATATTTTCAGGAGCGTGAGAACGAGCGGCAGCGGTTGGAGGAGCTGGTGGAGGAGAACATGCTGCTGGAGATTGGACAAAAGCAGAGCATGAACGAGTCTGCTCACCTCGGCTGGGAGCTCGAGCAGCTCTCCAAAAACAACGACAACAACACTGAGAGTAAGGCCCTTTCTGTTTTTCTGTATAAAGCCAGTGCATAAACGTGGCTCTACAATTTCTTCAGAAGCTGTGGTGTGGAGAGGCCACCGAGATCGGTTTTTAACTACTTTATCTCTTTATACTGTAGTAATAAATAGTACTTTGAGTCACTTCATCCTAGGGATGTAAAAAAAACTATGAATTTTCATGACCAACCGCATTAACCGGTTGAAACCGGTTAACCGCATAGTTTGAAATATTCCACGTTCTTTGAAATAACAGCCATTTTGAGCCGCGTACCTTTCATAAATGCAGCTATACGTTCTACTGGATCAGAGCTGAGTGGAACGATACCCTCAACAGCTTCGGCACCTTTGCGCACAGAGAACTGCTTTTTTAAAATCTTCCCATTCTTCTGTGCTGGGTTAAAGCTTTTTAGCTGCAAACGACGGCTCGTCCACATGGTCAGAGCAGCGAGTGACGAGCTGCGTCTCGCAGGTCTCCTCTAAAGTTTAAATACAAGTGATGTGTGTGGAGCTGAGCTAATGCCAAGGACCGCCTGTCACACTGTACAACAAACTTGACTGACTGTACAACAACAAAAAGAGTTGGAGTTGCTGGACACCTGAATTTCTCCTACGGGGGATCAATAAAATATCGATCTATCTATCTATATCTATCCATCTTCTGAAGTCGCCAGATACACCTTCTCACTCTGCCATTTGTTTCATGAGTTCAAAACTCAGTGACTCATCGTAGTATGTAAACATAGGTTGGCCTTCACTGTCTGGTACTAGAAGAGAGCAACATTGTATTACATTTTATTCATAATCAGGAAAAAACTCCCCGATTATCTGACTTGTTTGTTAAACTGAAACTCTGCCTCACTGAATTCAAGATCACAGGATCAATTACTTCTAAAAAGAAACATTTCAGTTCAAAAACTGAACACAGAGGTTTTTAACATGGTTTTAAACATGTTGCATCTCATACATTGTAATTAGTTTCAAATCTTTGATGAAGAAATAGTACCAGGTACCTGGTACTATTTATTATTGTACCTGGTACCTTGAGTTCAGAGAACTGACTTGTTTGTCCAACAAAAACTCTAGATTTTTTTTTTTCAATGAGTCAGAGTGAGCACTTAAGAGCCACCACTGGATGGTTCTTAAAGTGGTTCTCACCCCCGCTCCTCGGAACTTACGTCACTCACATTTCCTGTTCAAATCTTCCTCTAAATGGGCGTAGCCTGGAGGACTAAAGGGGGCGTGAACGAGACTGGGCCGTTTATATAGCTCTGGGCGGAGGGCTGCTGACGTCAGGTCCAACTTGCAGACGTCAGGTTTTGCTTCAGACGTCAGGTCTTGCTGCCGCGCCAGTGTTGGCGCCAGATTCAAAATTCAAATGTAGTAATACAGGTCGCCAGCAGATGGTGCCTCACAGACGGTTTTAGGCAGAAAGTTTAACTTTCAACTAATTTGCACCAAAGTGACAAAATTATGACCAGGATATGTAGACAACACTATTGGACACTCATTTATACCGTTTATCAGCAAAAAAAAGTGGATTTGAGGGTGAGTTGTCCTTTAAGTGCTGTAGATTGTTGTTGACTTGTGTCCTTAGGCAAGACACCCACATTGCCTCCATGAAAACATTAATTATTATATCTGTTAAAATATATAAGCCTTTTCTACCTTTTGTATTTGTTATTTTTTAGACTCTTAAATTATGTCAACTACTTAAGACTTTTCAATGCAATTTCACGTTAGTAGTATTTGAACTATTCCGTCTCTTTTCAGCTCGTAAGTCTTTGGTCCACGAGTTGAACGAATGTGTTTCAAGTCGTGTCTTGAAGTTGGAGAAGGAAAACCGCGAGCTCCAGTCGTCCATTGAGAGACTGAAAGAGGACAACCACAGTCTTCAGGAAAAACAACTTCATGCACAAGAAGTGGACAGAGAAAACCAAAGTCTGAGCAACAAGGTAACATGGCAAACTCTGACCATTACAATATGTAAAAATATTGTAAGTTACTTCAGTCTAATGGCTCTGTTGTTTCTGAAGTTTAGTTACACCCACATCAAATCCATTTACCTTTCAACACTTGCCACCACACTAGCAACTACACCTTAAATCTGAGGTGCCTAACTGTTTTTTTCATAAATAACACAACGTGTATTCAAACTGAAAAATGTTTTGGACAAATCAGACCACAACATGGTGTCTCCATCCTATTATAAGACATTCTATCATCTGGATACTTTGATTCCGCCAATTTTACATGCATAGTAATGGTAAGTAAGTAATGTTTATTTATATAGCACATTTTAAAGCGATTTTGATGGATTTTATTATTACCTAGTTCCATTATTTTGGTTCTTAAGTTAGGCACCTGAGCTTTAAATCACCATTTTATAGCCAGAAGTAAAGTTTTACTAACAAATTATTGTTTTTGTTTCCCCTTGTTATTCATATACTCAAATCACAATCACAAAATGTCTAACTTCAGAATCAGAATAAGAGTAATAGTAAAAATCAACATATACATATACAAATTAAAATTATTTCAATTTACTATATACAATTTACTATATTAAATACACAGGTTCACTTGGTGCACACAACATGCGGTAAGCAGTGCAGTGCAGAGTATTAGTCTAGTAAGGTGACAGCAGTAAAGTGATGTTATGAAAGGCATTATAAAGGGCATTAAAGTGGCTTTATAAAGGGCACTAAAGTGGCTCTTTGAAGGACTGTAAAGTGGCTTATAAAGGGCGGGAGACAGGTTATGGAGACCCAACAGCAGAGCGGAAGAAACTGTTCTTATGGCAAAAGGTTCTATATTCGGTAGTCTTCTGCCTGAGGGGAGGGGTTGGAACAGTCCATGTGCCAGGTGAGAGGGGCCGGCTGTGATACGACCAGCCCAGCCTCGAGCTTGGGTGCCATAAAGGTTGACTGTGGCCGATCACCTTCTGCAGAGCGCACAATGCACTGTAGTCTCTGTGTGTCCCTGACAGTGGCCCCAGGATGGATTTGCTGATGGCTGTGTAGAACTGCACCAACATCTGTGCAGGCAGCTTGGCTTTCCTGAGCTGATTATGTTGTTTCTGTGGCAGCTCTGAAAGAGTCCCAGTCTGTGATTCCAAGCACGCACGCAGCTCATCCACAGTCTCATCAGACCACACCTTAGAGTTCCTCACTACAGGTTTGGAGAGCTTCAGGCTCTGTCTGTATGCAGGAATCAGGTGGATCTGTGATCTGAGAAGCCTAGAGCTGCGCGGGGCATTGCGCTATAAGCGTACAGTGGTGTATCAGTGATCCAGTGTGTTCTCTCTGGTCGGGCATGTGCATCTGTATTTGGGTAATTTCTGGCTCAAGTTTCCCTTATTAAAATTCCCCAGGATAATAATCAGAGAGTCCAGGCATGATCACTCCATGCACACTTGTGCGCGCGTCCGTGAATGGTGGGATGTAAACTCTCGTGGAAAGTAGAACTGCAGTGAATGAAAAGATATTCCAGAGCAGGAGAACAGTGCTTGGAGATCACTGTCACATCGTTACACCAGTTTGTGTTAATGTAGAAGCATAGTCCGCCACCTCTGCTTTTGCCTCCGGAGAGATCACAATGATGGTCCGCGCGGAGGAGCTGAAAGCCCTGAAGCTCCAGCGCGCAGTCCGGGATCCGATCGCTGAGCCAGGTCTCGGTGAAGCAGAGTACACAACAAGAGAGGAGTCTCTGTTCCTTGTCATCAGCAGGGAGAGTTTGTCCATCTTATTGCACTGTGAGCGTAAGTTGGAGAGAAATATCCCCGGGATTGCTGTGCGCGCACCTCGTCTCCTCAGTCGCACAAGCATCCCGCTGAGCTTTCATCTCTTAAGAGTTCACACTTTTTTGGCTAAAACATGAACCAAATCAGCTGCAGACGCCAAGAAAACCGGCAGTAGGTCCATGGGGATGGTGGGTCTAATGTTCAGAAGCTCCTCGCGGGTGTAGGAGCAGGCAGAGACGCTATTAAAGCAAAAAAACTTAATCTGTGGTCTGAGCGGAGCCTGGTAGTAGGACTTTAATGTAGCCACATTCCCTATTACATGGCTAAAAGGAGAAGTGCAGATCGATACGGTTTGACTGAATACAGATGTGTGCAAACCTTTTTTCTTATAGATCAGAATTGAGATTACACTGCACATCTAGATTCTCGCTATATACATTCTATCTCAATCGACAACCCTACAATTTTTTCATGCTTTATTAATAGTGTAGTTGTACCAATTGTACCCTATTTTTTTCTTCTTTAGCTGGAGCGTCTTCAGGGTTTGCTGGATCAGGAGAGAATGACCAACCAGGACATGGAGTCTCTGGGGGAGGAAATCCTGAAGGAAAAACAAACGTTAGAGCGAGAAATGCATATCCTGAAGGCGGACAAAGACAGACAGGTACAAGACTGTAAATGTAAATTACAGCACTGAAACAGGAACAAATCCTGCCCTCTAGAATATTCTTAATTTTTTTTTATTTTTGACCAATAAAGGGTATTTGGTATATTAATTAGCCTTTTTGGATCAAAGAGAACAATGCTGTATTTTAATATAGACCCATTTTGCCTTTACCAAAACTACTTTTGGAATTACAGAAAAATACAACTTGTACACAATACAATACAATACAATTTATTCTTGTATAGCCCTAGGTCACAACAGAAGTCATCTCAGAGACTTAACAAAACCATTGAAATCACAGAGAGAATCAACAGTTAAAACACACGAAGAATATAAAGCACACACAGAAGAAAATGTCCATACATGTTGTAGAATGCTAAAGTGTCCTGATCATCACCAATCCTTTCTGTTGGACACTAACTGTCCAACAAGACCCTCCTGCATCGACAAGGAAAAAAAATAATAATAATAATGCATTGGTTTTATATAGCGCTTTTTTGGACACTCAAAGACGCTTCACATGTGTCATTATTCTTTCACTTCATACACGGTGGTGATAAACTACTACTGTAGCCACAGCTGCCCTGGGGCACACTGACAGAAGTGAGGCAACCAGTATGTGCCATCGGCCCCTCCGACCACCACCAACCATTCACACACACACACCAGACTCATTCTAGGCAATGGGGGTAAAGTGTCTTGCACAAGGACACAACGGCAGTTTGGCACTATACAGCCGCAGCCGCCTGTGTGGCTGGTGTTCCCAGAGGTTAAGTGTCTTGCCTAAGGACACAACGACAGCAGACAGTGGGAGTCGATGGTGAAAGTCGGGCTCGAACCCACGACCCTCTGGCTCAAAGACCAATGCTCTACCAACTGAGCTACTGTCGCCCCACTTTATAATCCTTTATCTGCATTGAGATCTAAAGTCAATGTTGTTAATCTTTCGGCTTGATCTCAAATTATTTCTCCATGTGAAAAAAATATATGATCCTCCTCTCATGGTAGCATCATCTACCTACAACTACGTCCAATCAATTTACTTTTTAACACTACTACACTTTAAACTAGGTGCTTTTTCATAATCAACACATTTTGCTTGTTTCAATTGAAAGAGAGTTGCAAGAGTAAAATGTTGCAAATCAGACCACAACATTCGGTCTTAATCTTACTAGTTACAAGTTAACTTCCACTTCCTTGTATAAAGAACCCTGGAGTTGTTGACGCTTATTGATGAGAGATGAGTGATGGTGGTCCTCTTTCAATTTTATGATCTAAAGATGTGACAGTGGCTAAAATCACTGAAAACAAGCAATAGCTACTAGTTAGGTTAGACGGATTTTATCAATACATAGTTGAGCTTTAAATTAATATAGCGAGAAATTATTTTCAGAATGCAAAATTCAAATAAAGTAAAAAAGTGCTTGAAAAATAGTTTTTACATTTTTTTTTCCACAATGAATTCTAATATTGGTGTGAAAAATTAACCCTCTCTCCATGCCGACTTTTCAACAGTGATAATCGCAATGTTTATCTAGCAAGCCTTGATTTTATTTGATTGACTTGAATATCCACAATATTGTATTAATATTTCCCCCCCCACCATTCAGATCTTGGAGTTGGAGAGCGAGAAGAAGCACCTCTCTGACGCAATGGCGGCTCTCCAGCAGCGCGCTCAGGCCAACAGCGAGGCCCGAGTCCGCGAGGTGGAGACGCAAAACCGACAATTGCACCAAAACATCAGCGAGTCCAGCTCCAAACTCGTCAGCATGGAGACACAGCTCAAACTGGCCAACGAGGAGGTGAAGAGGGTGAAAGACAAAGCTTCGCGCTGTGAGGAGGTGGAGAGGGAGGCGGCGAGGCTGGAGAGGAGCAGAGACGCGCTCCACAGAGAGGTTTGATCATTTACCAACAATATGTGGCTTCTTTTTTCAGAAAACCACCTCAGATTATAATAAATACTGATATGATTTATTCAAAACTACTGCTCTTTCTGATTTTCAACTGGATTTCTCCTGGTAAAGTTAATTTTATCATATGAAAAAGTTGCAATTGTGGGAGTATTGATGGCATTGGATGACGGTGGCTACATCAGTTGTCATAATCATAGGACGAGCATTGATCAAAAACCATAGAAAGGTACAGGTGAAACTTGGAACATTAGAATATTGTTCAGAAGTTCAATTTAAAAGTTAGGCCCCTTTGTTATGAATTTAATGTTCATGGCTTACAGTCCATTTTCAAAACATTCAACATTGTCAACATTATAACAAAGGCTTGTAAGGCATGTAAGGAGTCTGTCATATAATAGTTTCACATTTTAAGAATAACAGAAGTAAATGGACTTTTTTATTATATGACGGAATCTCATTACAATGTTCCCTTTCTATTTTTATTATTATTGATACTTTCTTTAAGACCATGGCAAACGTTGATATGTGATTGAAACATATTAAGCAATGAATTAACCTACCTACAATTAGCAATGCAAGACTCAGTGGAAACGCTGTGGTGAAAAGAGGTCGCTGTCTTACTCACTTTAGTTCATTTGATTCTGAGCAGCTAAATAATCAGAATATATAGCTACCACCACTATCAATAAACATATTTTATTCATAGAATCCATAAATGTGTGTATTGTTCTGATATTCCGTTTATTTCCTGAGATATGAATTAATAAAGTTGACGAATATGAGGCAGAGTGGGCCACAGATAGTCTGGACTCTGAAAAAAAATGAGTCGGGATATCCTCGGCATTCCGCGCGGGTTAATGACGTCGCCGCGAGGTGATATTAACCAGGTAAACAGATCACTTATTACTGCGCATTACGGTGAAAGCGGCATCTCTCCAGCTGTTGCGGTTACGGAGATATAATCCGACGAATTTAATAGCAAAATACACGGTAAGTAACCGGGATTTTGGAAAACCAACACCACACACATACATCTAAGATTATAAGCTTTAGAATGATGGTTTATTTGAATCATGTCACGGTTGTTTTGACCCGCGGATCAGTGAATAAAGTTGAAAAACCGCAGCGCTCATCACACACTCTGCTCTGCTGCAGAAGCGGGAGGCAAGTCCGGGCGAGTCCACTTTTCAGGGGGGTAGAAACGCGAGTCACGTGGCCCAAACGGACCAATGCCATTGGTTGGACTAATCCATTTTACATGTTAACAAGGGTGTTTGGGTTGTTAACATGTTTAAAGCTCGGGTCTGTAACTTTAGTCTCATAAATAACATGCTTAAAGCTGAGGTCTGTAACTTTAGTCTCATTAATAACATGTTTAAAGCTCGGGTCTGTAACTTTAGTCTCATAAATAACATGTTTAAAGCTGAGGTCTGTAACTTTAGTCTCATTAATAACATGTTTAAAGCTCGGGTCTGTAACTTTAGTCTCATAAATAACGTGTGTGTGTGTGTGCATATGCCAAAAACATTTCTAAGAATCATATTTAGATTGCTCCATCAATTACCTTTATTTTGATATATTACATAGTAGTTTGAAAAAAATGTTTTCCGGATTTCCTGTTGGCAGCCATCTTGGATAAGCTGGCGGCCATATTGGAATCGGGGTCGGCCAAATTGTAAAATGAATATCGAATTCAACATCCCTGAATTGTTTCCTTCTTTACTGTGAATTTTAATGTTTATAGTTAGTAAAATAGGGAAGTTACAGCACTTAGAAGATGAATAAAGGCTTGAACTGGCTGAATAGAAGGTTCCACAGTATCCCTTTGTTTTAAACCAAATTACTTTCACTATAAGCGCCTAAAAGCACTTATCAATATGGTAATAAAATCATAACCACTTATCCGATTTTCATAATTCAAAAACTGTTTTATTCCTCTTACTGAGCTGGAAAATACTGTGCTGAATTAAATCTGATTTGGTAATTTAAAAAATGTAATCTTGCATTGCTACTACAATGTGTGTGTGTGTGTGTGTGTTTATATAAAATGTGTGTGTGTTTATTGTTTCAGGTGACTTCTCTGCGTGCCTGCAATGAGCGATCCGAAACACTGGAGAAGACCGTCTCTTCTCTAGAGCAGGAGATCCACAGGCTAAAGCGCGAGGCTGAAGAATCCCAGAAAGAAGTCCTGCGCCTGGGCAAGCACGAGTCTGAACACGGCCTGCTGGCGAAGGAAAACCTGGAGCTCCGATGCTCGATGGAAAACCTCCGCTCCACAACCGCTCGTCTCTCTTCGCTGCAGGAAGAGCATCAAGAAGTGCAGAGGGAAAGACAGGAGCTGAAACGGAAGCTGGAAGAAGCCCAGGACTTGGCACAAGCTGAGAAAAAGCGAGTGGAAAGGCTGGAAGCAAATATGGCGTCTTTGAACCATGAGAAACATCGATTGGTGGAAGCTTTAGAAAGAGAAAAAGAGGAGAAAGAAGAGAACGAAAGGGAAAACCAGGAACTGAAAAGCAGGGATGAGGAGTTGAGGAGAGATCTGCTGGAGATGAAGATGCAAAGAAAACACTGGGAGGAGACGGACGATGAGAGAAAGAAGCTACAGAAAGACTTTGACCAATCTGAGAAAAGCAGGAAGCACCTGGAGAAGGAGAGCTGGCGAATGAGGACACTGTTGGAGACGAAAGAGGCGGAGCTAGAGGAGAAGAGCAGGCGAGTGTTGACGATGCAGAAAGAGGGAGCGGCTCTGAAGAAGGAGGTGGAGCGGCTGAAAGAGATGTCGATCAAAGCCAAAGAGGCGGAGCGGGAGAACAAGGAGCTCCAAAAGCAGGCGACCATCGACAAGAGGACGCTGGCCACGCTGAGAGAGGTGGGTGTATTTTGACATAGGTGCAACTATTATCCACTGTTCCACTGATCACTTTTTGCTAGCAAAAATGCATTAAAGCATTATTATTATTATTAATAAAAGGTTTTATGTATTAAAATCCAACAAATTCTTTTGCTCTTTCGCTAATTTTCACAGAAGTGAAAAAGGGAGGACCATCCCTACTAAGCCAATCCAATCTCAGCCCAAAAGTCTCAGCAAAAGTATTCAGAACATAACATGTTTTTTAATAGGATAAAGACAACATGTTTTGGTCTTGTTTATTCACAACATTTTCTTGTACAGGGCTATATTCTGGGACAAAATAATCTCATACCCCAGCTTTAAAGTGATTTTAATGTTACGTATTAGTGATGGTTAATTTGTGGTGCGACACAATCACTGGTGAATATTTTGTGTAGTTTTACATCAATCAAATCCGTGTATGAAAAGTTATTCAAGATAATGTTTCCTGTGTAAAATTTAAAGGAAGTTATCATGGCATCAAAACAAGTACACAGGAAAAGCCATTGTCTGACAGTATCAACGTTCTTTCAACAAGATACAATTTTGCTTTTCTACTTCATCATTCTATAGCTATTGTGGTAGCTAGATGATCTTTTTATGGTTACCATGATTACTTCCTGTTCCTTTGTCATATCCACAGCTCATGTCCAATAAGGAAAATTTTTATCGCCAAACTTTGGAAAACGGGGAAATCCAAAACAATATAAATGTGTTCATTTTTATCGTTTGCTTGGCACCAGAAATTAGACTGCTTTTTTATGGAGGGCCAGCTCTGTTCTGGGCTGCCCCCTGGACTCTGTGGAGGAGGTAAGGGACAGGAGGGTGCTAGCCAAAGTCCATCATGGACAACACCTCCCACCCACTGCACAGGACTGTAGAGGAGCTGAGGAGCTCCTTCAGTGCAAGAAGGAGCGCTACCGCAGGACCTTCATCCCAACTGCTGTCAGACTAACAATAAGTTACAACTTTAAGTCACTAATGCACTAGAAATTAAAAACCTGCACTACTATTGCCACTGTTTCTTTAATTGCCAGGTACGGCAATTAATTCGCATGCGCGACAAATATCATAAATGCGTACTATCACTTGAGTAATTAAGCGCCTTTGCGTACTTCACATAGACCAGTCCTTCTCAAATATTGGGGCGTTCCTCCCTCGGGGGGCGCGGTGCAATACCAGAGAGGGTGTGCGTGATCGCGGGGCACTTACTGCTGTTTGCTGTATGCACTCGAACGGGATTCCAAATCCTCCTTGGCAGCAGCGTTCTGACTCCAGAGCCACTCCAGCCGCTTTGTAATGACAGCGGCCGGTCAGAATGTACCCATGTAGCCAAATAGCCAAACGCTGTCATAATGTACCCCATGGATCTATTGATGTACCCACGTAGCCAAACGTGGTCAAAATGTAGCCAACGCGGACCATTCTCTGCTTGTTGCAAGTGTGTGTCTTTGCATAACGCAAAATAAATAAATACATATTGCGTTACTGCAAGAAACAGAGCTGGACTATGGAACCTCTCTGACATTGTTTAAAAAGGGATTTTATATGTTTATCTTTCTTTTTAATGTACTGTGATTAATTATGGTTTTAATGCTATCTTGTTTTGTTCAGCACTTTGAGTTGCCTTGTGTACGAATGGTGCTATACAAATAAACTTGCCTTGCCTTGCCTTAGTGTCCATGTCCTCCCCGTTTCTCTACATTAAAGCTGTGGTACCTACATTTTCCCTTGCATTAATAATGCATAATAATGTTGGCTGTGCCCAAAAGTAAAATGTTGTGAACAAATCAAAAAAAATATTGTTTTGTTTTTCATTTTTAAGAACAAGCCCTGTGAGTCATTATTTGACTTGGTTTGAGTGGATTATCTGAGCTGATCTAAACTTTAGCATTACAAAGAAGCAAGTATAAAATATCCATTAAGAACCACGCGACAAATGGAGTGAGTACCAAACACCATCTCCTGGTACTCATCTGAGAACCTCACTGAAAAGGTTATGTGCACCCCTGTACATAATATATCCTGAACAGACTATATTTTTTTCCTTTAACATGTTTGCACACTTCTGTCTTTTGCACAATCTGAGTGATTCTATCTATGCCAAATGTGACATTTTTCCAGTGTGAGATCAATCAAGTCTATCTGATTTGATCTCATCTTAAAAAATAAAGACCAATAAATTGCCACCATGATTTCTTACCTCTGTTTTGTGGTTTGTGCACGCAGGAGTTGGTGTCCGAGAAGCTAAATTTCCAGCAGCAGAATGTAGAGTTGGAGCGTCTCAATGAAGAACTGGAGAAGATCGGACTGAACCGAGAGAAACTACTGCAACAGGAGCACACCATGGAAGACAGGTATTTCAGTATTCAATCTTTATTTGTAAAAACAAACAGAAACCTCCACATTTGCTAAAAAGTCTTTTTTGAAAGTTTACACCCCCTTACAGAAATTGGCCATATTTTGGAGATAATGAATGACATTTTTAGTAGTTGTGTAAAGCCATTTATTGTCAAATACATTTTTCAATTATTATACAACAGAAACCCCTCTTCTGACTCTGATCAGAAGTTCTCAGTAGCGTATTTTGTGGTAATTTTGGATGAGGTCCATTATGCTCACTGATGGTAAAGCTGCACATTCTTCTTGGCAAAAGTTTTCCATTTAGGGTTAGGGTTATGTATGTCTTCACACAACCACTAACAATGAGTGGAAAAGAACTTGCGTTATCTACAAAATTTGGCCAAAACAAAAACATCTCTGCCGAGGTGTGTAAACCTTCAATCAGTTATATTGTTTTGGCATCTACGCTATAGATGGGAATAGATTTTTGACCCATTTTCTTTTGTATGATTCTCAGCAGGTACCGGCTGCTGGAGTCTCGTCTGGAAGAAACTGTCCAGCAAACAATGAAGCTGAGAGAGGAAAAAATATTGAGTTTGGAAAATAAACTGGAGGAGATCAGTGGACTGAACACCTCTCTGCGCTCTGAGCTTTCCACTGTAAGAAAGGCTTGCATATCCTTCTCAAATAATGTGACGGGCCCCCATAGGGGGACACAGTGCAAGCAATGCCGGGGACTGTGCGTGACCACAGGGATACAATTTTTGGTGTACGTGAAGGAATGGGATTCCACATCCTTTATCAAGGAGCTTGATCACTCCATCAAGCTCACCGATGATTGGTGATTTAATGCTAATTTAATTTAATTCTTCCTTTCTGAAAAATGTTGGAGACCCCTGATATAGTCTATTCCGGGCTAGCTGTGGCTACATCAGCACAGACGTAATTTCTGTTTTTAAAATAGACTCTTCAATTGTATTAATTCATTTAAAGGAAATCGACTTTTTCTGTCACATTTACGCTGTAACAATCGTGTGCGTTTTCAGGTCAGACAAACATTACCGCTGAAACAGGAGCAGGAACAAAACCACAATTCCCAGAAGCACACAGGAAACAACAGAGGTCAAGAGTCGGCCACAGCAGAGCTGCTGCGAATCAAAGATCACCTGATCCACGTGGAGAAGAATGTAGGTCTATGATCTGAGATTTGCTCCATTGTTCTACAAGTTTATTGTTTACTGACTATTGTTTATTTTCAGAACTCCTCGCTGCAGACAGAGAGCAGTCTGTTGAAGGAGCAGCTCAAACAACTGGAAAATCAGAATAACTCGCTCAACAACCAGATCTCGACTCTTCAGCGTCACACAAGCACGCTACAGGAGCAGAACTCTGGGCTGCATACACAAACGGCCAAACTACAGGTGATGAGTAACACCTGTATATTCAATGCAAATGTAATCCAGACTCTCAATTGAAAACAGCCACAAAAAACAAAAAGTTATTACTTTCAAACACAGCCATACCAGTGTCTCCACATCCTGGACTGAATCTGATGTTTGTCAGCGCCCATGATTTAATTTTCTGCCCTCTCCGGTCTACACAATGTATTGTAGTATCTTCAACACAGCCTGTAGCATGTTCTCAAAAGCCCTCAAGAAGTGTCAATGTAAGCGGCCTGCAGCTTGTGCCGACTGGCTCTCTTGTTTTCCAGAGATGAACCATAGAGATAACATACAATTCCAATAATTAAATTCTGCTCTTGGTGGGTCTGAATTTGGTGACAGAGGCCAAAAAAAAACATGTACGGACTTGTATAGATTTTATACAATTATTATTGTATTTAAAGTATTATTTAAAGTAGCAATATGTAAGATTTTCATGTGAAGTCATCATTAAATGGCTCTAATCTGTCAAAAGGCTTTAGAGTCTAATCTGTCAAAAGGCTCTTTTTGAACACTTCTTTAACTGATAACAGTAGTTCAACTGAGATATTTGAAATTCTAAATTAGTTTTACAGCCCCTGAATCTTGTTATTGTTTTCATTTTGATGTCCCGCCCTCTACCGTTTCACCCATCAGAAAGTTTGTGATCCAGGTTGCCTGAACTCACAGCATCAAGCTGGTAAAGTAACATGGCCGCAGAACTAAAAAAAGGGGTTTTTATGATTCTCACATCATTATTGACAAAACAAGGAATAAACAAGGATTTCTATTGTGAAAAAGGTGTTGGTTATAGATCTGTTGTTGACAAAACTCTTGTCTATTTAACTATTATGGTCCCAGCTGGATTTGTCTGCATATCTGGCAACCTTAGTTAGGGAGCGTGCAGTACCACTTTTGGCCAGATTTTTACGTACTGCTCCTTTAAAGTTTGGTACGATACAATACAATTTGTTCTTGTATAACCCTTAATCACAACAGTAGTCATCTCAGAGGACTTGACAAATGATAAAGCGCCCTGGATCCTCACCACACTCCTTGTTAGACACCAACTGTCCAACAAACCCTCCTGCATCGGCAAGGAAAAACTCTAAAACCCAGTGGGAGAACCGGTGAACAGAAATGAACAGACTACAGTCATAATCATAATAATGTAGACAGATAAAGTAGGAAGGAGGAGAGAATACAGGCTACAGTACCAAGGAAGGTGTGTAATCCACAATATATAGTTAAGTGAGGTTCGAGTTTGTAATAAAGGTTAAACGATGGAGAGGTTCGCTGGACCGGGTCCGTACAAGTAGACTCCAAAACCAGACATACAACCTAACCATTTGCTAAATTGAAGAAGAGTGTTTTAAGGCTGGCCTTGCATGAAGAGACCGTGTCTGCTTCCTTAACGTGAATGGGAAGCTGATTCCGTAGTATGGTACTGAAGCTTTAATGGCCGAAGGTTTAGTAGGACACTGAAGGATACAGCAGGACGTATATAGAATTTGTTGCCTAAAACCGGTGCGTTTTATTTAGGTGGAGAACTCGACCCTGTCCTCTCAGAGTGCGTCTCTCATGGCCCAGAATGCCGTGCTGCAGGGCCAGGTGACGGCACTGGAGGCTGAGTCGGAGGCATGGCAGCGGCAGAGGGAGGAGGCGTCGAGAGGCCGAGAGAGCGTGCTTAGTGACCACGAACGCCTGCTCAACGTGCACGAGAGACAAGCGCATGAGTACGAGGCGCTGATCAACCAACACGCAGCCCTCAAGACCAAGCAGAGGGCGCTGGAGAACGAACACAGAACTTTGCACAACAAGTAAGACTGCAGACGAAACTAAAAGTGGATCTAAAGATGTGACGGGGCAAAAAAAAAATAGAGTATATGGATCCAAATTGTTTTAAGAGTGAGTTTGATGGATTTTATTCGTCTCTTTGTGGATGGAAAGTCAATTACCTCTGATTTAACTTTCATTTTCATTGCCTGATTGCTTCATTGTTACTTAATTGTATCAAAGTGAATCTCATGTCATGATTTCAGGCACATAACAAATTTGACTTTTCACAGCCTTTTATCATCTGGTGTTTTTCCCTTATCATTCACACTCATGTTTGCTCTGAAGATAAAAGACAGCTGATTGTTCCCTTGATCTGTGCCTGCGAGATCTTTTATGTGGCTGTGTTTCCGCTTACCACAATATAGTCAGCAGAAGTGGTGACGATATAAAAAAAATGTATTCATGATATTGGCCTTTAGAAAGGACTTTCAGACATAAGAACACAGGACATATCCTTTTTCTTGCATTTGGCTCCTGTCGTCCAACTGAAATAGAATTCTACAGCATGAACAAAACAAATCAAACTTTCATGTCAAGGCCAGAAGTCCATTTCTTAACAGATGTTCAAAATGCTTTCTGGATGAGAGCCTGGATAACGTTTGAATCTTCTTAGATCACACTGTTGGACCAATGTGGGATTAGACTGAGCTTAAATGTTCTCACAAGAACACAGTGAATTGTGTTGAAAGTGACAAATGTAAAGAGGTTTTTCAACTTCAGACCTTTTGACATTTTAAACAAAACACAGTGGGCCGGAACATATGACCAGGACTGGGAGGACTGACAATTCATCACAATATGAGTTGAAGCTTTGTTCTGTGATCATATGACAGGGAAATGGATAATGTTGTTTATGCTTGAGAAACAAAGAACTGTAGACCATATTTTCATTTTAAGAAAGATGCATTGCCTTGGTTTAAGTAAGAGCTTTTCAATAGTATTAAAATACAGTGGTTTATAATGGGGTTTACACTCTAAATATAACCTGCAATAAACAAAATCCATGAAGTAGCATCGGAAGGTTTATAGGCTCTGAAACCCCTCACCACACACGTACTGTTCTTAACCAAATTAACTAACGACTGCTAAAGTGCGATCACAGAAATATTTAAACCTGTTCGTTGTAGGTCCGAGTGCTGCTGCAGCTGTCAAAAGCCAGGCATACACTGTAAAAACATCTGCAAAGGACATGACTGAGGGCTACGGGGAGACCACGGTAGTCCTCTAAACTGAGGGAAGAATCGACGAAACAGAAAATCTGAGGGACCACTGTCCACAAGCCCTCAACTCTAAGATTCATATTTTTGGTCTTGAACTAGTGTGCAGTTGTCACCCTTTATGGGAGACGGTTTGTCTAATGTAAAAATACAATGTTGCAATTGAAACGCTGCTCTGTTTTTTTGTAGGTACTGTTCGTTACTGCAGCACAAAGACAAATGGGAGAAGCAAGAAGGACAGGGCCAGAAGGAGAAGGAGGAGCTCAGCCAAGAAGTTCAGAAGAATCGACTTTTACAGCAACAAAATCTGCAACTCAAGAGTGAAGTTGATCGGTAATTATCAAAAAAACAATGACTCTATTAGTATGAAGAGTTATAGCATACTGTATTCCTCAAGTTTTATTTTCAAATATTCCATGAACAAAATGACATCACACACATAATACTTCCTTCTACTTAAAAATAAATTACAACAAATATCCTGGATGAATTATTTTGATTTACAAAACCCAATTATTTTTCAATACAAAAAAATCGAATGTTTTTGATTGTGTTAGACTAGTTTACTGTAATGTTAGAAGTAAGTACTGTGTCAACATTAAGTTGCTACCGAAAAAAGCCTTCCCTTGGATTTTAACTTGGATATTTTATGGGCTCTATGCACGCACCACTTTCGTGTTTTAGTTATAACGACAATTGACTTCCGGTGCGCAAGGATCGACTTGAGTTTCAATGGAGTCCACCAGATGTTTACACGAGTTTCCTAAATAATGCTCAGACAAACAGGAATTAAACTGTGAGGATACTGGGCATTTCTGGGACACAGCAGTGCTCTTTGATTGTGCTGTCATTGTGCTTTTATAAAGTTAAAAAAATCTCTCTGAGTGGCCACAGTCAAAACTATTCCTCAGAGAGAAAGCACATCAACACTTTTGGGTCAGTCTCACAGCTGAATGTATCAATCTAATCACTAAATAACGTCACTACAACTCACCACAAAGCCATAGCGATAGCATAGACAGGAAGTAAAAGAGCCGTTCTTTGTTTACAGGAAATGACGCCATGCATCCCCGTGCATATAGCCCATAGGTAATTAAAGTTAAAAAAAACAACTAAAATAAGTTTCACCCCTTCTTGACCAACTCTGATTCACTGCCAAAAACCAAACATGTTTTTGTGGGTCTGTTGAAAGAAACGATAGATCAACCACAAAAACATTTTCACTCGACATGACCACTAACAAAACATGTTCCAAACTGAGAACTGAGAATCTTCTTGTTTCTTGTAGGTTGACCACGTGCCAGTCCCACCACGCGGAGCAGAGTGAAAGTTTGCAGCAGAGGCTCCTGGAGCTGAAGTCGTCCCTCAGCGCGGCGCAGACCGAGGCCGGACATTGGATGTCCCGATACGACTCCCTGATGGAGCAGCACCAAGGCCTCGACATCACCATGACCAAATTGGACAACCATTGTGAGGTATACCCACCACGCTTCACTGCAGGAGCATTGAACAATAATTTACACACATTGACAGTTACTGTTGCTGATTGGGTGCATGCACAGTCAGGAGGGGGCTTTAAATGCTGAATTATTTCTCTATGGGGGAAGTATAAACTATATCTTAATGTAATTATGTAATTACAATATATACATGATATATGAAATAAAAGTTGATCCCCACTTTCAGCACCCTTACAAGTGCACATCATCAGTCGGCAAGTCTCGCTTCATTTGTGTTCTCCTCATTTGACCATGATGTTTTGTTTGTGCAGCTGTTGAGTCGACTCAAAGGAAACCTGGAGGAAGAAAACCACCATCTCCTCAGTCAGATCAATCTGCTGAGCCAACAGAACCACACTCTGCTGGAGAGGAGCATGGAGAGCAAGGAGCTGTACCACCAGGAGCAGAAACTCTACATGTAACTGGCCAAAAACGCACGCACACATGCACGCACACACACGCACGCACGCACACGCACGCATGCACGCACACGCACGCACGCTATTGCATATGATTTTCAATGTGTTTTCAGAGATAAGCTGAACGCTCTCCGACGCCAAAAAGAGAAACTGGAGGAAAAGATCATGGACCAGTACAAGTTCTATGATCCCACCCCCAAAAAGTAAGTGTAATGTTTTTCGGATCTAATGACACAATGCTTTTTCCATCCATCCATCCATCCATTTTCTACCCCTTAATCCATTTCTGGTTTGGGGGGTGGCAATCAGAGATGCCACCCAAGTCACATAGCACCAGCCCCTCACTGATCCTCCTGCAGGTGGTGAGTCCACAGGAGTCTTGCCCAAGGACATAACGACAGCAGACCTCAGCGGGAGTTGGTGAAGGTCTCATGGTTTGGCTCGAACCCACGACCTTCAGGCTCAAAGGCCAATACTCTACCAACTGAGCTACTGCCGCCCCTACGTTGTTTTTATCTCAGCAAATATGAATAGAAATAGAAAGCTTTTTTTAGCTTTATGTTCCTTGCATACTTTTGAGGACTTTTTCCCGTGACCTTTCTATAAATTGGCATTGAGAATGAACTCTTTGTACCCAATATTGTTGCCCCATCTCACTTACTTATCACATGTTGAAGTTAAAGTTTGGGTACCTAACTTTTTCCCCCCATTTTAATATTGTTCCAACAGAAAGAGTCTTGTGAACATGTCATCTTTTGCATACATATAAGAAAGAGCACTGTGTGTCACTATTTGACGCTTTGGGTTGAGAGATTACTTTTCCGTCAGAAAAAGTGATGAAAGAGGCCAACAAATACATAAAAACTAGTGATGGAACCAAACTGTTTTGAGCTAGTTAGGTTTTGTGTGCTTTGAAGGTTACATAGCCCAGCTTTATTATGGGGATATGCAGCAGAATTGTGATTATTATGGGGAGGCAGGATTTCAGAGTTATGCAACACAAATTTGAAACAGTCTTGCTGAAAATGTGTGACAGGCTTCTACTCTTACAATGTTTTAATAAAAAAAAAATATTGTACACTGTGCTATATGAATATGCTTGCCATGCCATTAACCATTTGCATTTTTGTCTTTCAGGAAGAGTCAGTGGTCTGGCGCCAAAGCTTTGGTCAGACTGATCAAACCGCGAAAGGACACGAGCCGCGAGCGAGGTGACCGAGATAAGGAGAGTTCCAATCAGAGAGAAAGGGCCAAAAGTGCCCCTGACATCCCACTGCCCGCCCCCCCGCCTCTGCTTCCCCCTGAAACCCCCCCACCGGTGCCCAAGCGGACCTCCAGCGACAATGTCCATGGCAACGGCATCAACGGAATTGTCATCCACGAGAACCACACCCCAAGCCTGGGGCCCCGTAGCCCCGCCCTCACTCCCATCAGCAGAGGTACAGTACGAGCTTATGATACACTGTGAAACTCTGAAAAATAGAATATCATTCAAAAGTTCATCTTATTTTCACTTACTGAACATAAACACATGCATAGATAGATTCATTTATACATACACGTCATATGTCACAGTTTAACATGAGTCAATATATTTGCAACTTTATTCACACATTATCAGCTCAAAATCTCAGTCCCAGCGCCCCAACTCAGGCCAGACTATTAATAATTGTTTTTGACACATTTTCACATCCACTAGTTTACCACTTGAGGGCAGTGTTGAATAAAAACAAAAATCAAGATTATTTGACCAAAACATTTCTAAAAGTACATACACCTATTTTCTATGATTTATAAATACATTATAAAAGAAGGAAGCTGCTTATAAGCAGGTGACAATATATACCTTTATACATGAAACCATGAACCACTCCCCGACTCTCTCACTCTACACATTGAGATATATATATATATTATATCAATATATATATGAATGAAAATACTTTTCAGTCAAACATTGTCCAACACGTCTATTACTAGTATTTTAAAGACTCCCTTCAACAACCTCCTATCGTTTAGTAAACCATACACTTTTCATGCATTTCTCAATAACTAATTTTAATCGCTTCCTCCTTGTAATAATGAAAACAATAATTAAATTACGCAAAACATGTTGATGTAAGTAAAGCCGAGTTGTCAAAACTGATTTTCAATTATGATCATTCAATTGATGGTAATCTATTAATACGGCTACTATGGCATTTTATACCTAAATATAAAACTTGTTTTCTCAAGAGAAAAAACATGTAATTCTAAAATGTGGTGAGTGGTTGACTACAGAAAGTTCACCCAAGTATCTCTAAATACATGAGGAAAGGACTCATATAAGAGGTAAAAAAAAAAATGTCAAAATGCCTTTGTAATGTAAATAAATAAATATGTTTTTTGTTGTTTATATTGTTTTTTTCCATCTTTCCATTAGAAAAAAACACATTTATAGTTTGACCAGCTTTAGAATTTGGCTCCTGACCCAAATTAGTTTGACACCCCTGACGTAAAAGAGGGGTGTATTTTTTTTTTGTGATGTACAGTATGTACATAACCTTTGACAAAGAAAACATCTCGTTTAGTATTTTTACTTTCGGGGTAATCTTCTCAAGACAATATTTGCATTTCCATGTGGAAATCCAGACTCTCCGCAGTGCAGACAACAACATGATTGTTTTTGCAGCAAATTGCCTTTGTTTGCTTTCATTGATTGCCACAATGATTTCTATTTTCTTATGTCACAATAATACGGGCTCAGGAGATGATTAATTGTTGATCAACTAAAGACGCACAAAAAAAAAATTAATTTCCTTTTCTCAAAGCTAAATGCTAGAATTGTGTATTCATTCACAATATAGATAAATAAACTTTTAAAACTCTCAATATATGCAGATCAACATAAGAAAAACATGTCTTTGCATAAGGCTAATGCAAATTAGGAAAATCAACAGTGCAAGTCAAACTAAATATTTTTCTACTATTGCACACTGGCTGGGGTTTCAACTCGGCTATTGAATAACTTTTTTAATAATCAGTTACTTATTCGACCAGGAAAAGACTTTTATATATATTTTAAATATGATATTATATTTTAAAGCAACTTCAATTGTATTTTAATTTAAAGCATATATAATTTTGTAGTAGTGCTCTAGTGTAGTGTGTAGAGTGCGTAGTATCATCTATGTTAAGTATTTGTCATAATACATATTTTTAAAACAGTCAATAAGCTTCACTAGTAATATTTGCTGAAGGAGAAAAGCTAGACCAATGAGGGTTCAAATGAATTGCATCCAATCAGGAACCTTTTGAGGGCATGTCAAATGGGTGCTTGCATTTGAAAAACTTTGCTGGCCAAGGGGAAACACACAGTGGCCAATACAAATTATCAAACATTCCATTCACAGTGAATGTTTGTGATCCGCTCCAGCAGAAACACATTTTACATACAGTTTAAAAGCAATTATGCACTCAATTTTCCATGTCATTATTCATACAAATTCCACTGAGACCAGCTCCTCCAACTTCAAAACATGCATTCAAAGCAGAAAACTGAAAGGCCTTCTCTCCAAACTCCAATTTAACTAAACTGAAAGAGCACATCTTGTGGCCGAAGATTGTGTAGGCTGCTTTTATTAAATACTTTAGCAGACTAATCGTGACCCCCACACACAGGAGCCAGTGGTCGAAGCTTCTTTCTTCCTCTCAGTGAGTCGGTATGGGTGTGGTGCATGCCTTTTCCAAACTTTGGGGTTCTATTTCTCATTGATCAATTGTCAATTTGTCTATTGCATGATGTCTTTTGGTTTTCTGTGATTAGATTACATTATTAACATGTTTTCATTTACTCATCAGTGATCTCTCTCCCCTTTTCCATCTCCATCTTTCTATCCAATTTTTCACTTCATTAAACTATACATATATTCTATTCATTCACTCATCCACCCATCCATTACTACCATTAATTCATCTATTTATCTATACATCTAAATATCTTTCAATAAATACATAAATAAAAACACCGCCCATAGCCTTGCCTACTGCCAAGCGTCTCCGTTTCTTCCGCAGTAAAAGCCAGGAGAGACTGAACCCTTCCTCCCCTCCTCCTCTCTCCATCTTCTCTCGTTCTTCCTCCTCCTCCTCTCGATCTTCTCTCTCTAGACGCCTCCGATTCTGGTCTTCCACCGACATCTCATCCGACGACTTTAGCCCGTCCACCGAAGCCAACGACGTGTTTTAAAACCCTTCATTTTCATCGCTTTTAAACATCCATCAGTCACTCAACTCACTCACCCAAAGTCTTAAGTTCATTTAGATATATTTCAACGCACTTTAACACTACATTTTTGCACACACACAACTATTGAAGCTACTCAGATGCATGGTGCTGTTGAGAGCAAGCCACTTTTTCTCGTAAGTGTTGAAATTTGTCATTGGTGTAAGCACAAATGCTTTGCTGCTTGTTGCATGTTGCCCCAGTTGTCTTGCTTTTGTCCTTTTATGTCGCCAAATTTGAAATACTTGAACAAGATCAGATTTGCAGTCATTTTTTCAGCCATTTGCCTCAAGCTCCACCCGGTTGCCCCATGTTTTTGCATCCGTCCACTGTCCCATTGTATTTTGTCCAGCAGTAGATTGCTTTAATTGTAAAGTTTCATTTATATTGTGTTTGACCAATTACAACCCTGCCACCTGTAGTAATGATATGATTATATGATTATATCATTTATAATAGTATGATAGTAGCCCACAATACAGCCGACTTATGTGATCATTTGTGACTGAGGCGAAACGGTTGACTGCAATAGCCTGGTCTATTTGAGGTTGTGCTTCCAATAGCAAACTCTTTTTTTATGCTTTCAATGCTTCAAAGAGGGTATTTTCATTTACTACAAGATAAATGACATTTCATTGCAGTTGCAGCTACAACTTATCTCTTTACTGGTATGTAATGTTAGGGAGTGTATTTTGGCATTCATGCAAGGAGTAGTTTAACATTGGTGATGTGAAGATGGAGAGTGTGTAGATCAGATAACCTTTATTCTTCCTTTAGTTGAGAAACTTAGGATAAGATACTCCTTTATTGTCTCCCATAGGAGAAATATATCTTGGGACACATTCTTTACACAGACACCGCTTCAGTGTCATTGTTGCACACAGAGCAGGAGCAGAACACACACTACAAACAAGATAAAGTATGTAAGTGATGCGTGAATTATAAGTACAGATGAGTGGCATATGTACAGGCTCAACAGTAGTCGTTGTGCAGTCTGATAGCAGCAGGAAGGAAAGACCTGCGAAACCTCCTCTTCACACAGGGGGGATTAGTCTGTCACTTAAGCCACTCTCGTGTTTCTGATAGAGGCTGATGGATCTGCCCTGTGGTTTGAGAATAATGATGTAGATAAATGTTAATTTAGAAAAAAATAACTGAACTACACAGTATGGCATGTATGAGCCATGATGCGAGTTTAAGGAATCTGACAAAGCAGGAACCATCCCAAAAAGACAGCAGAAAATATTGTTTTATCATATAATCAAACACTGTATTCTTTCATCTATAAAGTCTGTCTCATTTTCCTTCAATTTCTGTCTAATATATTTGCCAAATCACTTCTTCTGGCCTTTGGCAGAAGTTGCTGGAGCACTACATTTACCACTTAGTACTGTCAGAATAATGTTCTATTGCTTCTAAATTTAGCATTTAATCATTTGATAATCTTCATTGATTTTAGGTTCACGTACAGACCAAGCTTTGTATTAATATCTTAACAGCTTACAGTAGGTTTAGAGGATTTAATTTAAATCTGCGCAACATATTTTTTACATATAACAATATAAAAGGGGTTTTATGAAGAAAACCCCATCACACATGCCATAAAATACAATGCTCTAATGACATCATGCGATGAATTCAACTACAAAAAATATAGTTATTCAATGCATGATACTACCACAGATAGTATGAGACACGGAACACACAGGCCCCAAACACTCTCCGACTCTACACTTCTCTTCCACTACTCACTTTCATTCACATATTTCCTTAGTACTTATTTAAACAGTTTTACACAGTAGATGAGAACAAGGAAGAAGAACATCTTTTAAAATTTGAATTTGGTCGCCGCGTGTATTAGAGCCCTTGCCCTGTGTTCATTCCTGCGCTGTCAGCACTGTGCTTCCCGAATGTGTGTGGCGTTTGTGTGCAGAGCCATTTGCTGTGTTTGATTTGTTGCTTATTGGATTCCGATTGATTTTTCAGGACTAAATGATCGAGGCCGCGCAGGACAGAGAGGCAGCACTCCTGCAGGCAGCAATGAGAGCGTCAACGGAGAGGACGGCCACGGACACGGTGAGAGAGAAGGGAAATACATCACATATCCACTTCCTATACGCAGACTACACAACCCAAGCCACCAGTCAAGTGGTAATTGGGGCCTGGACTTTCCTCTTAGCTTAAGAATGAGCAGCTTTACTATCAGAGAGGATAAAGAATCCACGACTATCACAAAAGACTTCAAGCTTTCATAGATGTCAATGGGGAAATACACACTACTGAGACCAGGGGGATGGAGACTTCTGATCAGAGTCAGAAGAGTAGTTGGTAATGAGTGAAAAAACAAAAAAATTATCTGCAGAGTAAACTTTCATGCACAATTGTGTATTTGATTCTTTTATGCCATTTTAAAAAAAAACGGATACAAATTGTTTCTATCATGTCTTGTAAAGCACTTTGAGTTGCATTGTGTATGAACTGTGCTCAGAAAATAAACTGGCCTTATAAGGGGGATCTAACTTTAGAATCTACATATTCTGTTTGAGTGCAAAATCACCTACTTATTGTAACTTGGTTTATTTGAGTAACATCCATCCATCCATTCATCCATCCATTTTCTTCCGCTTTATCCGTTGTCGGGTTGCGGGGGCAGCAGTCTAAGCAGAGACGCCCAGACTTCCCTATCCACACACACTTCCTCCAGCTCGTCCGGGGGGACTCCAAGGCGTTCCCAGGCCAGCTGAGAGACATAGTCTCTCCAGCGTGTCCTGGGTCTTCCCCGGGGCCTCCTCCCGGTGGGACGTGCCCGGAACACCTCCCCAGGAAGGCGTCCAGGAGGCATCCGGAACAGATGCCCGAGCCACCTCAACTGGTTCCTCTCGACGTGGAGAAGCAGCGGCTCTACTCCGAGCTCCTCCCGTGTGACCGAGCTCCTCACCCTATCTCTAAGGGAGCGCCCAGCCACTCTGCGGAGGAAGCTCATTTCGACCGCTTGTATCCGCGATCTTGTTCTTTCGGTCATTACCCACAGCTCATGACCATAGGTGAGGGAGGGAACAAAGATTGACCTCTTTACCACAACGGTCCGATACAGAGACCGCATCACTGCGCACGCTGCACCGATCCGCCTGTCAATCTCACGCTCCATCCTTCCCTCACTCGTGAACAAGACCCCGAGATACTTGAACTCCTCCACTTGAGGAAGGACCTCTCCACCCACCTGGAGAGGGCAAGGCACTTTTTTCCGGTCGAGCACCATGGCCTCGGATTTGGAGGTGCTGATTCTCATCCCAGCCGCTTCACACTCGGCTGCAAACCGTCCCAGTGCATGCTGCAGGTCCTGGTTGGTTGGAGCCAGCAGGACGACATCATCCGCAAAAAGTAGAGATGAAATTCTGTGGTCGCCGAACCGGACCCCCTCCGGCTCCTGGCTGCGCCTAGAAATTCTGTCCATAAATACAGTGAACAGAACCGGTGACAAAGGGCAGCCTTGGCGGAGGCCAACATGCACCGGGAACAGGTCTGACTTACTGCCGGCAATGCGAACACAGCTCTGACTCCGGTCATACAGGGACCGGACGGCCCTCAGCAGAGGACCCCGGACCCCGTACTCCCGGAGGACCCCCCAAAGGACACCCCGGGGAACACGGTCGAACGCCTTCTCCAAATCCACAAAGCACATGTGGACAGGTTGGGCGAACTCCCATGAACCCTCGAGTATCCGATGGAGAGTATAGAGCTGGTCCAGTGTTCCGCGACCGGGACGAAAACCACACTGCTCCTCCTGAATCCGAGATTCGACCATAGGCCGTAGCCTCCTCTCCAGTACCTTGGAGTAGACCTTACCGGGGAGGCTGAGGAGTGTGATCCCACAATAATTGGAACACACCCTCCGATCCCCCTTCTTGTAGAGAGGGACCACCACCCCGGTCTGCCACTCCACTGGCACCGCCCTCGATCGCCACGCGATGTTGCAGAGACGTGTCAGCCAAGACAGTCCTACAACATCCAGAGACTTTAGATAATCAGGGCGGATCTCATCCACACCCGGAGCCTTGCCACCATGGAGGCTACCAACCACCTTGGTGACCTCAGCCAGGGAGATGGATGTATCCGCCCAAACATCCTCAGCCTCTGCCTCCTGGACGGAGGACGTGACGGGGGGATTGAGGAGAACCTCGAAGTATTCCTTCCACCGCCCGACAATATCCCCAGTCGAGGTCAAGTCTGCTTCTCCCTCCTGAGGCGCCGGACGGTTTGCCAGAACCTCTTCGAGGCCGACCAATAGTCATGCTCCATGGACTCTCCGAACTCCTCCCAGTCCCGGGTTTTTGCCTCTGCAACAGCCCGGGCTGCGGCACGCTTGGCCTGCCGGTACTGGACAGCTGCCTCCGGAGTCCCACAAACCATCATTGCTCGATAGGACTCCTTCTTCAGCCTGACGGCATCCCTTACTGCCGGTGTCCACCACCGGGTTCGGGGATTGCCGCCGGGACCAGCACCAGAGACCTTGCGACCACAGCTACGAGCCGCCACATTGGCGATAGAGGAAGAGAACATGGTCCACTCGGACTCGATGTCCCCCTCCTCTGCCGGGACCTGGGAGAAGCTCTCCCGGAGGTGTGAGTTGAAAGTCCGTCTGACAGGGGGGTCAGCGAGACGTTCCCAGCAAACCCTCACTACACGCTTGGGTCTGCCAGGTCTGACCGGCCTCCTGCCCTGCCAGCGGATCCAACTCACGACCAGGTGATGATCGGTTGACAGCTCCGCCCCTCTCTTCACCCGAGTGTCCGAGACACGCGGTCGAAGTTCAGATGATACGACAACAAAGTCGATCATCGACCTCCGGCCTAGGGTGTCCTGGTGCCACGTGCACTGGTGTTCAAACATGTTCGTGATGGACAAACTGTGACTAGCACAGAAGTCCAACAACTGAACACCGCTCGGGTTCAGATCAGGGGGGCCGTTCTTCCCGATCACCCCTCTCCAAGTGTCACTGGCATTTCCCACATGGGCGTTGAAGTCCCCCAGGAGAATAACGGAGTCCCCGGGCGGTGCACTGTCCAGTACCCCTCCCAAGGACTCCAAGAAGGCCGGGTACTCTGCACTACCGTTAGGCCCGTAGGCCGTCACAACAGTGAGAGACTTGTCCCCCACCCGGAGGCGGAGGGACGCGACCCTCTCATTCACCGGGGAGAACTCCCCGGGGGCAATGGGGGGCAATGAGTATGGCCACCCCAGCTCGCCGCCTCTCCCCGCGGGAAACACCAGAAAAGTGGAGCGTCAAACCCCTCTCAAGGAGTTGGGTTCCAGAGCCCAAGCTGTGTGTGGAGGTGAGGCCGGTATCGCTCAACCTCCCCCACAAGCTCGGGCTCCTTCCCCCCCAGTGAGGTGACGTTCCACGTCCCAAGCGCCAGATGTTGGGTGTGTGGACTGGGTCGTCGAGGTCTCCGCCTTCGACCGCTACCCAGTCCTCGCTGCACCTCGCCACCACGGACCCCTCTGCAGGTGGTGGGCCCACAGGAGGGACTGCCCATGTCATCCCTTCGGGCTGAGCCCGGCCGGGCCCCGTGGGCTAAGGCCCGGCCACCAGACGCTCGCTTGCGAGCCCCGACCCCAGGCCTGACTCCAGGGTGGGGCCCCGGCTGCGCCATGCCGGGCGACGTCACCGTTCTAGTATTAGTGCTGTCCATGGTTGGCTTCGGACTGCGCTTCGTCTGATTCGTCACTTGAGACCTGTCTGCCATGGGAGACCCTACCAGGGGCATGAAGCCCCAGACAACATAGCTGCTCAAACTCCCCCACCACGTAAAGGTGGCAGTCCAAGGGGAAGTTTGAGTAACAGTTTTTCTTAAACATTTAAGTCGTTGTTGCTCTGATAATCTTTGTTTGTCGTATTGGAATTTGAATGATGATTTTAAATGGTTTATAAGAATGATGATCCGTTGATGCCATAGATTATAACTGAAAGGAGTTAATCTTTTTTGTCAAAGAAAAGTCCACTTAAATCCTTCCTTTCTTTCTCCTCTTTCACGTTATTGGAATGTCACCCTCAGTGTTTGCTTCTCAGCCCTCAGAATATTGCCTTTGAATAAATGTATGACTTTTGTTACTGCAGCGTACAGAGCCCTGAGCTCCACTCCCAACCATCAGTCATCGTCTGTGGGTCTGAACAGCAGTTCCAGACCAGGACCCGGCCGCAGACCCAGAGGTAAAAATCAACACACTCTTACTCCTATAAATCGTTTTATAACATCTAATAAATAAACTTAATCTTTCTATGACATTTATCCACTTAAAGCTTGGGTACCTAACTTTGTAGAGAATGGAACTACTGTCTGTGTAGTAGGTTAGAAAATGCCTCATAAAATGTTTTTGTTGTGGAAACAGACACCCCCTCTATTTTTTTGTAATTTTATAAGTGTTTTATTTTGCGTAACATACCCACTCCAACCAGTAGGTGGTGCTGTAGCGCTACTGTGGTGACTAGAGGGACAGCGGAGGCGCAGCTCTCAGTAGTAAAGAAGCTGTGGCCTGATAAACATGTGTCCTCTCTGTCTATCCACAGGTATGGTTCAAAAGTTGTTTTTATTAACTTTAAACTTGGTCACCATATGCTATGTATTTTTTTATGTGCACAAATTGTACAGTTAAGTAGTTTTTAGGGTCTAGCAAACGTTAGGAACGCATTTTTATACTGTGTTCTGTAGTCCCGTTTCTAACGTTTGTATGTCATGTTTGAGTCAAGTAAAGTAGTAGTAGTGATGTGTTTCAAGTCCTATCCAAGCAGTTAATATGCTAACGCGTGGTGTATGTGTATGTATAAGTGTTATTACCTAGTTTGTGTTGCGAGTGCAGACAGTTTTAAGATTCAAGTGCTAGTAGTTTTTTCTAGCCGTTAAACCAGAGACTTTTTCCCGCCGTTGGAGGCGCATTCTGTTAAAATGGCCGACCTGCGTGTGTGTGTGTGAGGCAGGGAGAGATAGAGAGAGACTAAGAGAGACAGATAGGAATTATAAGTGAAATGTCTATTTTTATGCATTTTCTGTACTGAAGTAGCTGTTGTGTGGTATGGAGTGAATGTATAAATGTATGTTTTATTATTTTATGTAATTATATGTATTTTCAGTTGCACTTTTTGGGTTATTTTAGCATTTATTATTTTTGTCAATTTATAATTTATTTTTGTGGTCCAATTGTGTATTTTTGTGTGTATTAATGTTGATTTGAATGACTCAGTAGTAAAGAAGCTGTGGCCTGATAAACATGTGTCCTCTCTGTCTATCCACAGCTCCAGTTAAATAAGCGTCACAGAGAAGTCATCTGTGTGCGCACTTGTTACTGCCCAGCTTCCCCTAGGGCTGGTGCCGGTAATAATTGGGGGCTCGTCCGGGATCTCAAAGCAGTGCTTCGTGGTGAAGAGAGTTCCATCATCAAGACGAGATGGCAACTAAGGCACCAAGGCGGGCGCTGATTGTCCAGATCCAACGACGACTTTCAAGTTTTAGCACAAGTCAGCTGCTAACAATCGTTAATGCCATTGATGACGGCAACATCACAGCCATCGATGATGAGTCAAGTGACAGTGACCTGTATGAACTCATTGTTGACTATGTGAGAAGTGACAAGCTGAAGGCACTTGAGGATGAAGGCATGTCACAGCTGCTTGTTTTGGACGATTTGACGAGCGATCTACTGAAACCTGCTGCTGCCATGGGTCCTGGAGGCGATGATCCTGCCACAACCCACACCAGCGATCCTTCATCTCCTCAGCACAACGAACTCCACTCCTTACACCTCAACGACATCCCTGGAGAAGATCATAATACAGGAACACCTCTGAGGCGGCTCCCTGCCCCAGACCAAACCAGCGGAAGTGTTGGACTCCCACGGGGTGGGGCTAGTCCATCATCTAGTATGAGAAACCAGGTATTGAGTATCAGTGATGTGGCAAGCCTGCTCCCCCGAAGAGAGTTCAAGCTCCATGGTGGACAGATTTCAGATACTGGTTCAGAAGTGTCTTACGGTAACCTGTGTAAGCAAATGGATGTAGGTTTACATGAGGGGTTTTCTGAGTCAGAAGTTATCAGAAGTGTGCTTAAAATCACAAAACCTGGTACATTCAGAGACATGTTACTCAACAAAGGTGATCTAAATGTAGATGAGCTTAAGAAGTTTCTACGCTCTCACATTCGTGATAAAAACAGCACAGAGCTCTTTCAAGAGTTAAGTAATGCTAAACAAGCAGATAAAGAGAGTCCACAACAGTTCTTATATCGAGTAATGGGTTTAAAACAACGTGTTCTTTTTGAGTCACAACAAACCAGTTCTGGGTTTACTTATGATGTTAAACTTGTACAAGGTACTTTCCTCCATACTCTTTATCAGGGGATGAATGAGAAAAATGATTATGTGAGACGTGACCTTAAGCCATTCCTTAATGACATGCAAGTGAGCGATGACCTCTTACTAGAACAAATCACTAAATCCACAAGTGAAGAGGCAGAAAGACAGAAAAGACTGGGTACAACTGTTAAGACTAAGACAGTGACTGTTGCAACAATTGACAGTGGTGACAAGACTAAAGACATTAAAGTTGACAAAGAGCGACAGACACAGCAGGACGCTATTAGAGAACTAACAGCACAAGTGTCCTCCTTGACTAAACATCTAGCTCAAATGACCAGGCCACCGGATAATCCGAAACCTGTTGACTCTGGCCCACGGAGACACAACCCACAAGTACGAAGTGAAACACGGGGCAGATGTAAATCCTGTGTAGAACAAAACATTACCCCGTGTCATCATTGTTTTGTGTGTGGTCAAACAGGACACAGGGCCATAGGTTGTCTACAGCGCAACGTGTCGGGAAACGTGATGCGGTCACAGGAGAGGGGCAGCCAGTGACCGAGACACCCCAAACGTCCCAGATGTTTAACAGCAAAAGACAAGCATCACAGCCGCCTCGCTCGTCACCACCGCCAAAGAAACGACTGGCTCAGCTCATTGGTAAAAGATGTATGGTCTCATGTGCTCTCGATGGTGCTCCAATTCAAATGCTACTGGATTCAGGTGCACAAGTGACAATGGTGGGGAAAACATGGATGCAGGAGACATTACCAACTGTTCCTATTCAACCACTCACCTCACTGTTTCCAGACCAACCTTTTGAAATCTCTGCTGCAAATGGCAGTGACGTTCCTTTTGAGGGTTGGGCAGATATGGCACTTGAACTCAAGAGCAATAACCATGGGCACGTAACTATCCAAGTCCCAGTTATAGTCACTGAGAACTGTCTTAACCATCCCATTCTAGGCAGTAATGTTATTGCTGAAGTGATTAAAGCTAATAAAGAAACCAACACTAATATTACTGATTTGCTGAAAGAGGCTCTAAGTGTTAACGAAAATGCAGTTGAGGCTTTAGTGTCAGCACTTGACGTTTCCACCTCAGATGATAACTACCTTGAATACACAGTTAAAACTGGCAAAAAGGGTGTAATGTTGCCTGCTGGCCAGATTTGTGAAATTAGGTGTAGGGTCAGAGAGTGGCCAGCAGGAGGTGCAATGTTATTTCAGCCTAGTGTGCAGAACAATCATCCAGATGGGTCAGAGTTGTTTTCAGCATTAGTGAGTGTTCCTAGTGGTTTAACAAAAACAGTAAAAATCCCTATACAGAACACCACTAAACATGAAATCTATCTTCCAAAAAGGACTGTTTTGGGAACACTGGAAGAAGTTGCAGAAGTAAAATCTTTTAACAGTGTTTCAGACAACCCAAACTTGAACCAACCAGCTTGTGTGAACACCTGTTCTGTAAATTCCAGTTCAGTACAAAACACCAGTGATATTCGTCAAGCAAAGGACACTGATGTGAAAAGTGAAAAATGGCACCCACCAGTAGATTTGTCACATTTGAATGAGAAAGAACGAAAGACTGTTTGTGATATGCTATTTGAGGAGTCAGATGTATTTGCAGGAAGTGACTCAGACATTGGCTGTATCCCGAGTCTGCAACTCAAAATCAATCTCACAGACAATGTTCCAGTTCAAACAGCCTACAACTCCATCCCAAAACCCTTGTACAAGGAAGTGAAAGACTATGTTCAAAAACTGCTCGATCATGGCTGGATCAGGAAATCCACTTCTCCCTATTCCTCGCCTGTGGTCTGCGTGAGAAAAAAGGACATGTCGTTACGGTTGTGTGTTGATTTTCGGGGATTAAATCGCAAAACTATTCCTGACCGTCACCCACTCCCACGCATTCAAGACTTGCTGGACAATTTGGGGGGTTACTCTTGGTTTTCAATATTAGACCAAGGTAGTGCTTACCACCAAGGTTTTGTAGAAGAGAACTCTAAACACCTGACCGCTTTCAGCACACCTTGGGGGTTATATGAGTGGAACCGCCTCCCATTTGGCCTCACCAACGCCCCAGCAGCCTTTCAAAGATGCATGGAAGGTGTCCTTGACGGGTTAAGAGATGATTGTTGTTCTCCCTACTTAGATGACGTGTTATGTTATTCTAAGACTTTCACTGACCACGTAAACGACTTAAGACGTGTTCTACAAAGACTTAGAGAACATGGTGTTAAGTTACGCCCTAACAAGTGTGAACTTTTTAAACGTCAAATCAGATATGTAGGCCGTCTTGTGACTAGTGAAGGTATCCAGGTAGACCCCAAAGATCTAGAAGCTGTTTATCAGCTCAGGGACAGAGAACCAAAGAATGTTGGAGAAGTTAGAGCTCTCCTAGGTTTCTTAGGATACTATCGGACATTTATTCAGGACTTTTCCAGATTGGCCAAGCCACTTTTTAAACTTGTTGAAGGCCCTAGTGAAAAACAAAGTAGGCCCACTAAACCCGGCAGATCCAAGAAAAACAGTAATGGTCAACTTCCTTCCAAAACACCGGTTAACTGGACTCAAGAACACAGTGCAGTTGTGTCACGTTTTGTAGATATGCTTACTAGTCCACCTATTTTAGCATACCCAGACTTTGACTTGCCTTTCGTTCTCCATACAGACGCCTCTAATGAAGGACTGGGTGCTGTACTTTATCAGCAACAGAACAACAAACTCCGTGTCATTGCATATGGGTCCAGAACACTAACGCCTGCGGAAAGAAACTATCACCTCCATTCCGGAAAGCTTGAGTTTCTCGCGCTTAAGTGGGCGATCTGTGACAAATTTAGGGATTACCTTTATTATGCCCCTACCTTTGTCGTTTTCACTGACAATAACCCTTTAACATATATTTTGACCACGGCCAAGTTGAATGCAGTGGGGCACCGCTGGGTTGGTGAACTAGCTGATTTTCATTTTACTATCAAGTATCGCCCTGGAAAGTCAAACGCTGATGCTGACACACTGTCAAGATACCCAGTTATACTGTCTGATCACATGTCAGAATATACAGAGACAATGCCACCTGAAGTTATTTCTGCCATTTGGCAAGGTGACAAAGCAATCAGAGACAGTGAAGTGCCTTGGGTTGCTGCTTTACAGTTAAACTTGAATGCAAATGAACCAGACACTACAGGCACCCCTGTCATTTCACCTGAAGATCTCAGAACTGCTCAAAATGAGGACAAGTCTATCTGTGAAGTGATACAGTTAAAAAGGAAAGGATGGACTCCAAATGAAAAGGACAAGAGACTAATGACACGTGAAACAAGGAGACTAATACATGAGTGGAACAGATTAAAACTGGAGAAAGGACTGTTGTACAGATTCACTGACAAAAGGAAACAGTTTGTTTTACCAGACAATTTGAAAAAAACTGTTTTGAAACATTTGCATGACGATATGGGTCATGTAGGAGCAGATAAAGTCATTTATCTAGCACGTGAACGCTTTTATTGGCCCTTCATGCAGCGTGACATAGAAGATTATGTCATTCGCCAGTGCACATGTCTTAAACAAAAACGTCCATGTGTTCCCGAAAAAGCTCCAATGGGTTCAATCACAACAAGTGCTCCATTTGAACTTGTATCGGTTGACTACCTTCACCTAGAACCAAGTAAAGGTGGTTACGAGTATATATTAGTTCTAGTAGACCACTTCACGCGTTTTGCACAAGCTTATCCAACTAAAAATAAGTCAGGCAAAACTGCGGCAGAGAAAATATTCTATGACTTCATCCCGAGGTTTGGGTATCCTGAAAAGCTCCACCAAAATCAGGGTCGGGAATTCGAAAACAGCCTATTCCAAAGACTCCAACAACTCGCAGGAATAGCTCACTCTCGAACTACCCCCTACCATCCTCAGGGAAATCCTGTTGAACGTCTAAACAGGACTATTCTACAAATGCTACGAACCCTGCAGGAAGAAAAGAAAACACAATGGAAAGATCATTTGCCACACATTCTCCATGGATACAATTGTACCAGACACGAAGCGACTGGATACTCACCCTTCTTCCTTCTGTATGGTCGAATGCCGAGATTTGCCAGTTGATTTGTTGTTTGACCTAAAACCTGAAAGTGACTGTAAAACAAAAGAAGAATATGCTGAAAAATGGGCAACTCGTATGCGAGAAGCTTATAAAATTGCTTCTGAAAACAGCCAAAAGAGCTCAGCAAAAGGTAAAAGGTACTATGACCAACATTCCAAAGGCATCCCGTTACAACCAGGGGACCGAGTACTGGTCCGGAACCTCTCAGAACGAGGAGGACCTGGAAAACTAAGAGCTTACTGGGAGAAATGTGTTCACAAAGTTGTTGAAAAAATGGGTGACGGTCCTGATACAAAGTTCAAGCAGAGACAGGAAACCGAAATCTCAGAGTCTTACATAGAAACCTCCTATTACCAGTCAATGACTTACCACTTGAGGAAGAACAAAGTCAAAATGTGAACCGGACAAGACAAAAACAAAGAAAAGAACGTAGACAAAATCAGGAAGCTGTTGACCCTGAATCTGAACAGTCAGATGAGGAGGAAGAATTAACATACAACTGGCCACCTGCGCCTGTGTATCAAAGCAAACCTCAGTCACATCGTGAACTCAGGGCCACAGCACCTGTATTTCAACTTGAAAGACAAAGCACTCAAACGAGTCATGTGCAAGAGGGAAGTGCACAACCACCAATTGACATACAGAATCCAAATGTGTCAATCCCAGCTGTCGAAATGGAATCAGGACCAAGGCCAGAGCCACTCGACCCAATTCCAGCTGAGGAATTACCCGTAATGGACAATATAACTGATTTGGAAATGGAACAACTGCCTAATACAGTGTTTGATACAAAATCACATGAGGAAACAGTTCGCAAATCAGTCCGAACAGTTAAGCCAAGAGAAATGTTCACTTACACTCATTTGGGACAACCATCATACCAAGCATGGAGACCGGCAGCGAACATGATGTTTGCCTATCCTATGCCCTGTTACCCAACACAACCTGACATGTACTACTATCCCACCCCAATGTGGACATGTTAGAGTTTACTTAAGTGACCTTTTTTTTTTTTCATTAGCAGACCAAGTACTATGATTCTTTAAAGACTGTGTGTTACTTATCTTGAGACACTTTGTGTAAGATGCCGGAGTCATCTTTTAAAAGCAGGGGAGAGTGTAGTAGGTTAGAAAATGCCTCATAAAATGTTTTTGTTGTGGAAACAGACACCCCCTCTATTTTTTTGTAATTTTATAAGTGTTTTATTTTGCGTAACATACCCACTCCAACCAGTAGGTGGTGCTGTAGCGCTACTGTGGTGACTAGAGGGACAGCGGAGGCGCAGCTCTCAGTAGTAAAGAAGCTGTGGCCTGATAAACATGTGTCCTCTCTGTCTATCCACAGGTATGGTTCAAAAGTTGTTTTTATTAACTTTAAACTTGGTCACCATATGCTATGTATTTTTTTATGTGCACAAATTGTACAGTTAAGTAGTTTTGAGGGTCTAGCAAACGTTAGGAACGCATTTTTATACTGTGTTCTGTAGTCCCGTTTCTAACGTTTGTATGTCATGTTTGAGTCAAGTAAAGTAGTAGTAGTGATGTGTTTCAAGTCCTATCCAAGCAGTTAATATGCTAACGCGTGGTGTATGTGTATGTATAAGTGTTATTACCTAGTTTGTGTTGCGAGTGCAGACAGTTTTAAGATTCAAGTGCTAGTAGTTTTTTCTAGCCGTTAAACCAGAGACTTTTTCCCGCCGTTGGAGGCGCATTCTGTTAAAATGGCCGACCTGCGTGTGTGTGTGTGTGTGTGAGGCAGGGAGAGATAGAGAGAGACTAAGAGAGACAGATAGGAATTATAAGTGAAATGTCTATTTTTATGCATTTTCTGTACTGAAGTAGCTGTTGTGTGGTATGGAGTGAATGTAAAAATGTATGTTTTATTATTTTATGTAATTATATGTATTTTCAGTTGCACTTTTTGGGTTATTTTAGCATTTATTATTTTTGTCAATTTATAATTTATTTTTGTGGTCCAATTGTGTATTTTTGTGTGTATTAATGTTGATTTGAATGACTCAGTAGTAAAGAAGCTGTGGCCTGATAAACATGTGTCCTCTCTGTCTATCCACAGCTCCAGTTAAATAAGCGTCACAGAGAAGTCATCTGTGTGCGCACTTGTTACTGCCCAGCTTCCCCTAGGGCTGGTGCCGGTAATATCTGCTCTCAAAACGGTTTGGTCCGATCACTGGTTTTTCATTAGCATGTGATTTTGGCCTCCTTCACATCTTTAGATCAGATTTTTAAGACAGAAAAGTGACATGGAAGGATCATCTTCACACAGCCAATCAGTTCTGGAACCAAAGTGTCAAATAGTGACTCAAAAGGCTTGCATGTTTACTATTAAGATAAGAGCATGTTGTGGTCTGATTTGTTTACAGCATTATTAACGGCAAATAAAAGTTAGGCTTTAAAGTAGTAGTTATTTTTGTGTGGTTATCTTTAATATGTGGAATCAAAATATCATTGCTCTGATCAGTTTAGTATTCTCAAACGGTGGTTACCATTTCACCTGTGGATACATTGGGGACTTTCTAAATAAATGTTGTCTACTATTGTTCAGATAATAAAGCTTTTATTGATGAATAATTTTAAAGCAAACCTTTCCTTCTAATGTACGTCTCCAGGTCATATGTACGATGAAGATTCTCGCCACACTTCGACAGACTCCATGTTTGGTTTCCATGGTAGCACAAGTGGGCGCCCAGGATCAGCGGACTATAGCCACAACACGTCAAGCTCGAACTCTCCCATCAACTGCAGAGGTACAAGAGCAGTACATTTATATAAATGATAATCTATCCTGAAGTCTGTAAGAACGTTAATGGGCTGAGTGGAGTGTGCCAATTTATGCACAGGGAGAACTTGCAAACATGTCCCGCTGCCCCTTCTGTCTAAATCTCAAAATTGCTGCATGCTGACAATATGTAATATCCGTATAAAAAGCCGTCTGAGCAGGTTATACTCATCTCTAGCTGGGTGGCACGGTGGTTAAGTGGATAGCACTCTCGCCTTTCAGCAAGAAGGTCCTGGGTTCGAATCTCGGTCGGAACAGGGTCTTTCTGAGTGGAGTTTGCATATTCTCCCCGTGTCTGCGTAGGTTTCTTCCGGGTGCTCCGGTTTCCCCTACCACTAAAAAAATGCACAATAGATATGAATGTAAATGAGAAGGTGAATGGATGGTGTTCATTGGGGGCTGATGGTCCAGTGTGTTCGGCAACTCGCTTCCGTCATCACTGTGTGTGGAATGATTGGAACAATATCTGAACTCTGAACATTGTAAAGCGCTTTGGTTGACCTTGGTCTGTAAAATGCGCTATATAAATAAACATTACTTACTTTCTATCTTTTATTAGTCATGTTTTATTAATCTATTTGGTGCTTTAAATACTATTTCACTTTCTAAATCATTCAATTCCATGGTGAATATTTTCAAGACAATGTTTTGCAACAAAATGAACACCAACAAATGTTCATAATCATGTTTGTTCTTTAACTCTCTCCAGACCCTGCGGATCGTCAGGGGCGCTCGGCCAGTCTCTCCAGCGATGACGTCATAGGTGTCGGCCAATCGCATCCGAGTTTGTCACGTAGCTCCACCCTACCGTATGAACACTCGCCACAGAAAGCCCAGCCGCAGAGAGGCGTGCCCAGACCCAAACCCCGGCCTGGGTCCCCTGGGAGCGAGATGGTGACGCTGGAGCAGTTTCTACACGAGAGCAACATCCAGTCCCCTCCTGTGGTAAACTTCGATTCTGTCACATATTATCAGCTTGGCAGGTTGGAACTTTTGGTTCCATTGACTTCAAATCTATCTGCCAGCTCTATCCATGGGGCTAGAGCTGGCAGATAGCATTATTTACCCCATATATAATATTCTACTAAAGATATTATTTCACCATGTAAATCATAATGACAAAGTAAATATATTATTTAGTATGGACAAAAGTTATGTGTATAATTTTTTTTTTAACCATACTTTTTTCCTCAAGTTATTTGGGTCTTGTGTGCAAGCAATCTCAACAGTGAGACAATGAAACTAGAACGAGTTTTGGATTTTATAAAGTCTTTCTTCTCAGTGAGATAAAACTGAAACATTTCTTTAAAAAGAGACACAAACACAGAACAGTCACAACACAAACTGCTCTCAAGGCGCACAATGCTTTGATCATGAACAAAAATAACATGTCCATGTGCAGCTGATAAAAACACCACTGTGTTTGCGGCCGCCTCGTTTGCTGAATGTAAAAACCTCATCCACTTGTTGAGTTTGATTTAAAACCTCTCGGTTTTCGTAGAGCCGCTACAAAGGAGTTTGGCAAAAGACTGCCTGCCCTTTATTCTGTCTGGAGGGGAACTTTCTCTGCAGGGGCGCAGGTTAGAATGAAAGGGGAAGAGCAGCTACATAAAAATGTAATCCCTTGTTCCTTGTCCCATTTCAGAGGTTTCCTGAAAAGTTAAAAATTATGAGGCATGCATGAACTAACAGACAAACTCAACAGGTCAGAGTAGAACAATTTACATTTTTATTCACACGTTCTACTGATAGTGAGTTTAAAACTATGTAAGAAACATATCTGCCTACAAAGCAAATGATCTCCTGCTATTAGTGTTGTGTTGGTCTGGTTTGTGTGTTGCCTTCACATTGGAGTGAATGTGTTTTTACTCACAGCAAAACACATTCCTTACCAGGATAATCAATTTTACTACCACATCTGTGTCATAATAATATATAATACATTTAAAAGAAGGTTGGACTAGAAAGATTCTGAGTAACATTTCTTTTAGAACACGGTTGATAACAGTTTCATAGATGGACGACTGTGATGGACTTACTATTTTCATAAATGCCAGTCTTAATTAGAAGTCTACACATTTGAGTTGAGATTGAATTTGAAGCGGTGCCTTTAAAAACAGACTGACAAAACATTGCTAAGTTGTAGTCATTGAGCAGAGGTTTTCCAAGGATACATGAAAAATGCTTGGTATCTTCACCCGCAGTATGGCCAGTGTGTGAACGGAGACTCTGCCATCCGTGGGACCGGCAATACTCTATATTATCTCTTATTAAAGTTATAAGTGATGATCCAAAAATCACAAGTGACTTTTATTTTCTCATTTAAATTAGATAAAACGTAACAATTGCAAAGATATCTATAATTGTGATACTTTTATTATGTTAAATGTCAATATAGCAAACCCCCCAAAACTCCTTTCATTTTTTCCTTCTTTTATTTCTTAAGTGTTTTTTTATATTATTATTATTATTGTTATATATAATATTTTTTCCCATTTTCTTTTCTTTTTCTATATATATATATTTTTTTCAACATTATTATTATTATTATTTTTATATAGTTATTGGATCTTTTCCTTTGCATTATATAGTGTTGCCTTGTTATGTATCTGAAGTATGACATTCTGACTCAAAAATTAAGTATAAAAAAACTCAAACTTGCATTGCAGCACTTGGAACAAAAGAATCATATTCAGTCAAACATTTTTTTTCTTTTATGTGCAGATTGATTCTATTAAGTATAGTAACATTGTTTTTTCTTTGTTACAATTTTGGGATATTATATAGCAGCGGTCCCCAACCTTTTTAGTAATAGCAATAACGTCAGGTCATATTCTCACTTTTATAAGAAAAATGACCCAAACACAAAGCACGACACAGTTGCTTTGATACAAAAATAAGACCGACACCTGTTTTACTTTGTTTTTGTTACTTAGTCATAAACAAACGCACAGTCCTCCATCTCACCTCAAAGCCTTTTCTCTCTGTCCCTGATGTGACCTGCCTTAAATCAGCCGCTTCATTCCTTTGTCTCCTTCAGATGTGGAGGAGGAACATTTAACATTTTTATGCAATTGATTCACACACACTGTCAAAAAGAATAGTTTGATTGTGAGTGAGACGAGGTTACTCATCAGGTGTGAGTAACTACAGCTTGTTCTACTCATTTAGATTTTTCATCAAGCAACATCAGAAAGATTGTGTATATTTTGATTCATAATTTAGCTTGAGATAATGTGACTTTATGGAAACACTTTAGATCATTTATCATCCAAAGGATAAGAGTCTGTTTCACACCCAGAAACACAGATGTGGAGATATAACACTGGGAACTGGGAAAGCAATTTCTGTTTCACTTATTCATACTGATCACTAAATGTGTAAAATTGGTAATTTTGTATTTAGAATCTGTGCAAATGTGGCATGTCATACATTGCAATTTGTCATAAAGGTAATTTTATCCAGAAAACATTTCTTTATTTACCATAAACATTGAACCTAAGCAATATTATGAAACCCAGTCAACAATACAATGCCTCATTGCTTTATATTGTTTCAGTTTTGTTTCATTCCATGCAGCTGGACTGAATTTGTTCAGAGAAATAATATTATTATTATTATTATATAATATTATTATTATATATTATCAAGTATTTATTTGGTTAAATTATCTCATTATAAAGATTATAAAAAGTCGCAGATACAAACAATAAACCATAAATCTTGGTTTTCTTGTTTTTGTCTCTGCTCTACGAGTCCAAACATCTACTTTCTCTACTGTTAATGTTAAAGAATGAGAATAGAATCTCTGCAAGTGAATAGATCTGTTTTCCCAGACTTGACCTCATGCAGCCCCCAGATAGTTGAGTTTGAGACCCCTGGTTTATGAGAGGAAAAAGAAAGACCTTATATTCTCTAAAACAAAGGAAGTGCAGTCGTCATCTGATTTGTTGCTTACCTCTTCAAGACTCAATAACAGAAACATTATATTTGTGAAATAGAAAAATGGGTATTAAATAATTAAGTATGATTATTTATATTGCGCTTTTCAAAGTCACAAAGTGCCTAAATGGATTCACTGCTCACGGTTAAAAAATGTTTTAACACAGATTCAGTTGTAACAGGTACACATAATTGGCAATATCTCTGTGATGGTTTCTCTCTCACATACACATGGGTGGGTCGTAAAGGGCGTTTTAAGAGATTTTTTATTAAAATCTCTCCGTAGAATAAACAGTGGGAAATGTACAAAAACGTATTTACAGAGCACAGTGAGAAGTCTACAGGCAAGAAGGATATTTACTAAAAAAAATATACACGACTTCTTCAATAAGTCTCTTTTTCCTTCACTTTTACTATCGCTCTTGCAGTCCACGTTATCTTCTCTGTAATGAGTCACGACTCCCATGGGGCACACCTTCTGTAGCCTGCTACAGGTTCATGATTACATATATTTACACTTACATACATACACTTACATACATACACACAATACACCGGGCGGCACGGTGGCTGAGTGGATAGCACTCTCGCCTCTCAGCAAGAAGGTCCTGGGTTCGAATCCCGGTCGGACCAGGGCCTTTCTGAGTGGAGTTTGCATGTTCTCCCCGTGTCTGCGTAGGTTTCCTCCGGGTACTCCGGTTTCCCCTACCACTAAAAATATGTCCAATAGTTCTGGCATGCGCCTCCTGTACTGGCGACCCCGCTCCCATCTCTGTGTGGAGTGAGAGACAAATGCCCAAAATTAACAATTGTAAACCGCTTTGAGACTCAGATCTGCAGTGAAAAGGCGGTATATAAATAAAAACTTACTTACTTACTACATTTCAAACTACACATGAAGACTAATACAAATGTCCATGCAAATGAGTTGTGGTCCACATGACCCACAGACAGTGGGTTTAAGCCACAGTGAAAAGTCTACAGGGTGATTCTCTGTAACCGGTGCCTTTTGTGCCCCAGAGGTTTAACGCAAAGTTTAAAAAAAAAAATTGCCAATAAAATGAATCGCTGAGTATCAGATGGCAGACATAAATGCATGTCCCCAGTGACCAAAGTACTATTTGATCATTTAGGCTGAGAGCTAAAGTGCACAAAAAAGTTGGGTACCCCAGCTTTAACTCTGTTATTTGGATTCTCTGGTGTTGTCAGACCATACCTGGTATAAATATAAACGTGTTTTCTTGCAGGTGTCGACCGGAAGCCGAGAAGACTTGATGAGCGACTATTTCACCCGGAGCCCTGCCCACTCCACCTCTTCTGCCCGAGAGCAAGCCACGCCCATGAGCTACGTCACCCCCACTGTCCAGCTAACATCCAATCAGCGACCGGGACAGACCGTGAAGCCCTCCCCTCGCCTTCCGGTCGGCCAATCCCCCGCCTCCAGCCAAACCGTAATCTCGAGAAACGGTCAATCGCTGAGCCGGACTTTCAGCTTGGCTTCTGCCGACTTGCTGCGGTCAAGCGGCCCTGACGGTTTACGGGGCCACGAGGGATCCGTGGGCCAATCGGACGCGGTGCTACGACGGCCGGGGGGAGGGGCTACAGCTAGGGAACGCCCACTTTCCGCACGCATTGCTGGGCCAACCACTAACCACGCAGAGTCTGGCTTTTTGCACACTCCCATTCACCATTCCGCTTCGCTAAACTTACAAACAGATAGATACTTGGAAAGAGGAAGATCTACTACCACTACAACAACTTCTACTACAGCAAAAAGCAGCGCAAATTATCACCGAGGAGAGGTCGCTATGGTGACACCGGTGCGAGCCGTGACCGCACCTGATGAGGATCCAGCGGGAGGTGAGGGGAAGAAAGATGACCGCACACGATGCAGCTCTGCAGAGAGACCGAAAAGCACGCCAGCATCTCCAGACCCAAGCAATGATCCGCAAACTGTGTGGTATGAATACGGGTGCGTGTAAAAGATGAAAAGATTTAGCAATCTGTGAGAAAAATGTGAAAATGTACATTGAGAGTTTTCACTGGTTGCTCAATTGCGAACAGATGCACAAATGTTTTGAGAAGTCATTTTTTGGAAAAAACGGCCCTGTCAAAGTGATCTGATTGTGCGCATAAAGGCAACACAACACTTGCTTTAGAATGTATACATTTTAATGTTTTTACCACAATTCGCTAAAAAGTGCAAACGTTCTCTCAAAAACTGGAAGACCTCTTTATACAAAGCAAAGTTTTGAGGATAAAAAATGGTCTGATTCTTTTCAAAAACATTTTTGGAAAAGTAAATGCAATATTGGAAAAATGACAGTCCTTCATTTTCAAGTTCTCGCCAAAGCCGTTGGGTTGTGCAAACTAAATAGCAACATGAAGTCATTTCTGTTGCTAAGAAAACTCACAAAACTGGATTTTATCTGGATTTTTCACAAATGGTGGAGTTTGCTGGGTCTTGACTTTTACTTGAAGGATAAATTCTCACTTGGAGCCATTGCTAATAACGTGAACTTCAGATGGATCAAAACTGGATGCTTTTACCAATGCAAAACATTTGGGAGATAAACTTAAATGCATTTCATCACCTGATATATTGATAAAGCCCCACACTAAGTAAACCTGCGTTTACTGGAAGAAGTGAACAAAGACAACTAATTTATTGTTATATTTTTAATACTACTCATCAGATTGCCTTATCCGACATGAACGGTTTTGAATGGACAAAACACTATGAACTATGGAAGGCCTTTGTCCAGAGCTGGATCTTTTGACTGCTGATCTTCTCAACCAAGACTTTTGATGAAGTAAAAATGAAAAAACGCACCTCGCTCCAAGAAAACACTGCAAAAACAACAAATGGTTTGTAAAAATTACTTCAAGTAAGAGAATATAGAAATGAAAGACAAAATTTGACATGGCTTATAAAATACACATTGCTGTTCAATGGTTTGGGGTCAATATCCTAATTTCTTATTGAAAATGATTTTGAAATACAGTCCAGAGTAGACATTGTCAACATGGTAAATGTGAAAGTGGTAAAAAGCTATCCTAGCTGTAAACAGTGATTTTTGTACAGAATATCTACGTAGATGTAAAGCAGCCATCCATGTACCATGTACATTGTGCGACTCAAATGTGTCAAAAGGTGATTTATTACAAAACTCTGGTGCAATTCTGTTAGCACGTGAATAAAATTAAGATGCACAGGTACAGTTGACCTTTTTGTCCTCGTAGGGAAATGTGTGCCCTGCATTTGGCTTTTGCTTCAAGCCTTTGGGGAAACGGTAGTCGCTGCAGTGTAGCTCCAGCTCAGGACCAGAGGCTTCTCCTGGTGTTAGAGGAAGAGGACCAGGTGAAAGCTCTGGTTCTGAGCAGAAGACCAGGGGATTCACCCAGACAGGAGAAACATGCCAACCGCACACAACCCAACAACAACAGCATTAAGTTATTCAATGAATACAAGTCGAAACAACTCACAAACAATTGCATGTTCTTATTTCAAGTCATTTTACCAACAAATTTGTGTTTTTGCAGTGAGAATGGCCACGGCTTGAAGGTATTTTCTAAAAGCGTAGCTGGTCTTGAGTAAAAGCAAGCAACCATTGAATGTGTAAAATATCTTTCCTTTTTCCTCCTCCTCAGCTTCTATGTGACACATAGTAGACACGGTTTAAATTAAAATATTGGATACAAGAGAGAATGATAAGGACATTATCTGGTGAATAAAAATGATAGTTGGAAGATGCATTTTAACTATTGTTTTAAGAATGATTTGAATTCAGAGTCTTGAAGTTGCTTCAATGGTTTCAGGTACAGCATTGATATGGTTCAATGCTTGGACAACGTTTTTGTGTTAATAGTTAAAAAATGTATATTGCCTTTTTAAAATGTATAATTATATCTACATTATTGCGACAGTGGCTCACTTGGTAGAGCACTGGCCTTTGGGCCTGAAGGTCGTGGGTTCGAGCCCACTATTAGACATACTTCACGACTCCCACTGATGTCTGCTGTCGTTGTGTCCTTGGGCAAGACATTTAACCCCCCCCCTTCCAACCCAGAAATGGATTAAGGGGAAGCGAATGGATGGATGGATATTACATTATTGATTTGGGCATAACTTGATCATTCTAGATTATGGGGATTCATTTTTACTATTTTAAGACTAAAAAATTAGGTGCAGGACCTTTAGTACTTCAAATATTTTCAAGTCCCTCAAAATAGTTGTGTGTGCATCCCAGCATATCAGAATGTGGCTTTATCTTTCCCTAAATACATTTGAATAGATATAAACCCATAATTACTCAAATCAAGATAGTGAATTCAAACCAATTTAAGTCATTTCAATATTGTCTTTACAAAGTGCACAGTCGGGTTGTATTGATGTGATGTTAAAAATGCAGACAAGAGACAGGACTGAGCGCAGATAAACATTTGATTTCCAGCGCACCTCCTCCCTGTTAAATTACAGCCTTGTGCTCCACACTCCAGCTTTAGATTCTCTCCCAGCATGCATCTCTGCTGTGACACTTTCCTGGAAATATAGCATCTCAGGTCAAGCCTATAACGCAATACAAACACAGAATCACCGTCTTTGAACAGGTCGTGTTTGGACAAAAAAAACCTGTTATCAAGACTCGTAACATTTGAGTTATACCGGCCAATCACACGCATCTGTTTTAGTTCTTGCCCTTTACTTATTAAATCTGCCACGTTTCAGATAAATTCGATCCACTATTTCAGTACACTTCAAATATGGTGCGATGTATTAAAAGGTAGATGTCAATATGTAATTTGACTTGAGAAATTCACAAAAAGAATTTGGTGGCTAGACTTATGCCCTAACAAGCTTTTAACAGTCATACAACATTGTTCCCTCATTAAAAAAAAAAAAAACCTAGAGTTGTTTTTAGATCCATCCACGCTAATATGAGGAACTTCTGGCACAAACATGTAACTCCGCCCCTTCTGTCTACAAGCTCCTGTCTCAGTCCTGTGCTTTTGTGAGGTCATATAGCACCATGACATCACACTTGGAAAACATAAGCATTTCATTTCAATTTATTTCAAACCTGCAGGTGTATACAAACAGGAAAACAAAAATACAATTCCCTTTTAAATTAGTTTCTCTGGTGAAAATTCCCATAAAATTGAACTCCTCCCTCTGGTGGTAGCATAGGGAGTTATCAATGAAAAGTATTTTTTTTACCCTTCATACTAGTTTCATCATATATTTTCACATTATTTCACATTCCAAAACATAAAATAGCGAAGTAGATAGATAATAATGGCTGTTTTCATGATTATCTGAAGATTTGCTCAAGCGTATCAATTTCGAGAACACATTTCTCCAGTGCACTTGTAATTCACACGCTGACCACTGGGGGTAGCACATTGAATTGTATTACATCAGGACACACTAAACATTTTACAACATCACTCCAGGGAACATTTCACATCTCGATACACTGTTTGGATAAGAAATAATGTTAAATTCAGGTAGAAAACCCTGTCCTGTCTCTTGCCACGCTCACATCACAGCAGAAGGTGAATATCAGTCTGAATGACAGTATGGTAAAAGAAATATTTGATTATTTTCTCAACCGTTTTAAGCACGACTATTAAAGGAATAGGCCACCGTTTTTACATACTGACATATGTTCTTACCTTAGACTAGTTGATATGTACCTGTCTGGTCTTTGTCCGTGTGCTCTGTCATGCAAACGGAGCACAAACGCAGCCTCTTCCACAGACTGTATAGTTCGAAATCAGCTCCCGTTAGAAGCTACCAAACTCTTCCACGTGTTCCCTATTTAAATACAGTTATGTGACGTGTTACACTACAAAGTATAGTAACACAGAAATGTAACATGTCGATTTTCTCAGCGGATAAAAAGGGGTACTATATTGTGAGGCGCAATAATATGAGGAGCACTACGTCCGCGCACTAACTACAACAAGTCACGCTCCTTCTATTGACGGGATAGTGAAGTGATATTGAGCGGGAGTGAAGTCTTTGGGAGTTGATTTGGAACTATACAGTCTGTGGAAGAGGCTGCGTTTGTGCTCCGTTTGCATGACAGAGCACACGGACAAAGACCACACAGGTACATATCAACTAGTCTAAGGTAAGAACATATGTCAGTATGTAAAAACTGTGGCCTATTCCTTTAAAGAATAGTCAAACGGCTTAATTTCTCAGTGCATGGGTCCTCATTCCAAAAAAAAAAAGGTTTTGAAAATGTTTGGAATGGTTACATGTTGTTTAATAATTTAACGTTTCTATAGTTTTTTCATAATTGTATCTATTTTTACTCCATGGGGTTTCAAAATATTGACAATATTGGTTGAATTCACATGTCTTTGCACGTTATGCTTGATTGCTCTGTGAACTTTTGGTCGGCTGAACGGCTCCTATAGCTTCATACACCACACATGACTTATTAACTCGCTGGATTCACGGAAGCAAAAACTGGAGGTAGAAGTGAAGAGTCATGGTTTGCTGTATCATGGTGAGAAATTACTGAAAAGTAAGAAAAAGGACGTATACTTGTTGCATTACTAGAGGGGGGAAAGAAGACGCACTGAGAAATTAAGCTGGTTTGACTTGAGAATACATTTAGCACTAAAAGAAGAAACACATTTAAGAAATCTATATATTTTACAAGTAACAATTGTAATACTTCAATTAGTTCAATATTTTATTGAAACTGAAAAAAATAATCCAGTTAATTTTTTAGTTCAGTTGATTTTGACTTCAAACAAAAAAAATTGAATAATAAATATATCTTGCCAACTTCAACATGTTTGGACGGAGCAAACTATCTTGCGTTTGAAATAAGATATAAATGGAAAGTGCCCAAAAAATGACGAATTCAAGAACGTAATTTAGATAGCATTTATAATGTGCCAAGGCCAAGCAGAATTGTCTAATGAGATTAGACCTTCATTTGAAAATACCAAACTCTTGTAT